TCGTACCTTCGAAACCTACTAGAAATCTACCTTTTCTAAATATTATTAAATTTATCTAGTCTATTAAGGGTAATACTATAGCCTATAATATAATCTACGATAAAAATACGGAACTAAATAGAGTACTTATCTAATAGATATTTAGTATTAGACTCAATATAAAACGAATAAATAATCTTTATAGAATTATTACTATAGTTAATATTCTTATAAAGATTATTAATAAGTATTCTATATAATTCGACGAATTTAAGGTAATATCTACTCTTCTAAGTAACGAAGATCTTTATTATACTTATACTCTTTTATAGATATAGTCTCGAAATAATAAAGATAGTTATAAGCTAATAAAAATAGCTATATCTAAACTTTAAATAAATACTAAGAAATCTATATACTACTTTATAGATACCGAGCCTATTATACTTATAATATTATTTAAGGATAATATTACAAGACTCGATAAAAGCCTTCTTTTTAAATATAATCTACCTTCTAGGCCCCCTTCTAACTCTAAGTTATATAACTAGCTAGATATAGAAGCTTTTTTTAGTAATATTAAAGCCGGATTATCCGCCCCGGTCGATAATAATAATATATAAGACTTTTCTAAGATAGTAAAAGGTCTATCTAAATTATCTATAATTAAGAAGGCTTCTTTTAGAAAGTATACTATAAAATACTTCTATATTATAAAAGATACGTAGCCTAATTTTTATATTAGAATAAAACTACCTAAAGATATAAAGTCTACTAAAATTAAAGTAATTTTAAGAGAAGTAAATCGATCTACTATATTAAGTAAAGAATTAAAGAATATTTATATAAATAATACTTATATAAAAAAGATATATAGTAATATTATTCGAGGATAATATTCTCTCTCTTTCCTAGATAGTACTAATATAGAATATAGATTAATATAATTAAGAATAGTACTAGAAGCTATAAGGATTCTAATAATATACTCTCTAATCTTCCTATAAATATTAATTTCGAAGACTAAGAATTTAATAATAATAGAGAAGAAGTATTTCTTAAACTATAGAATTCTCTTAAGTATACTAATATAAAAATACTTAATTAAGATAATACTATAGAAATACTAGGTATTAATTATAAAACTTAAGAGTTATTCTTCGACCTAACTAGTTTATTAATATTATTACCTTATTAATTAATAGATATTAGTACTATATTAAAGTATAAGCGAGAAGTATTTAAATATTATTAAAAGGGATAGCTAGTAATTATATTAGGTCTACTTATAGATAATATAGAACTTAGAAAAATAATCAAAGTTCTAATAACTATTTTAAAGGCTATATAGTAAGGCTTTTAGATAAATAGTAAAGAGTTTATTTATTTAGATATAATATTATTATATATTCTATTATAAACTATAATAGAATAGTAGTTAGATATTTAGAAGTATTTTAAAAATACTCTATATATATTCTTTATTAGTAGTTTATTTTAGAATATAAGTAATCTAATATATACGACTATATATATATTAGTAGAGTAGTTTAAGACCGCTATACTTATACTATACTAATCTACCCTTTATAGTAGTAAAGAGTAATAGAGCTATATAATCTTTATTATATTATACTAGATAATAGTAAAGTATACCTTAATATTAAAAACTAAGTATAAGACTATACTAGTAGAAAATAAGAGTATAGAAGCTATAACTATATCTATTAAAAACTAGATACTAATTATAGATAAATTATATCTATAATCTTTAGTTAAATAATTTTATACTCTATAACTAAAAACCTCTACTATAGGTAGTAAAGAAGAAGATAAAGATCTCTAGAAAGAATTAATAAAATTTAATATATTTCTTTAGATTTATATTAGTTACTTCGCCGAACTATTTTATTATATTATTATTAATAAAGGATATATTATAAGATATCTAAAGTCTATAATTTTATAAGTTATAAAGCTTCTTAAATTTAACTTCCTCTAGATTATTACTACTATATCTCTATTAAATAAAATCTATAACTTTTATAGATATACTTATCTTTTTTATAATAATAACTAGAAACTTAAACTTTTAGACGACTTTAAATAGAGACTAACTCTAAATAAGTAAGTATTTTTTTAATAATAGTTTAGTCGATATTATCCGCGGATAATATCGGCTCCCTAATACCCTTTCTTATAATTATAGTAATTAATATTATATATTATATAAATAGATTTACTACTACTATAATTTAATATAAGAAGTTAGAACTATTAAATCCTCTCTATATCTATCGATTAGCTATTAATAGATATATTAGTACTCTAGATATAGCTATAATAATACTAATATTATTAATATTATATATAATCCGAAGAATAGCTATAAGTTATATTAATAGTATACTAATTAAGTTAGCTATCCCTAGAAAGTATATTAATACTATAGTATTAAAGATAATATATAGAGAATAGTAGTAATATTATAATATATATTAGAAAACTATAGACTTTAGGATATATATAAGTATCCCGGACTTTAAGAAGGGTAGTATAGATTCTTAAAAAATTAAGCTACTATTATATAGTAGCTTTTTTATAACTTTTTCTATTTTTTATAATAGATTCGGAGTATTAAATACTCTATTAAGTAGCTTAAGTAAATTACTTATATAATTATATATAGGACTAGACTATTTTTTAAGAAATATTTATTCTATTATTAATACTTAGTATTATATTCTATATAGCTAGATAGATAGAGCTATTAAATTTTTAAATTTTTTACCTTTATTAAGATATATACTACCTCTCTTATATAAGCTTATCAATACTACTAATAAGTAAGTAGTAATCTATATATAAAATCTAATAACTTACTAGATTCTATTTATATTTTATCTTAATTAGAGATAGAATTATACTTAGTTATATATAGATATAGCCTAGTTATAATAGAATATAACGATAAACTCTTTTAATAATATTAAATCTAGTCTAAGAATTCTTATTATAACTTACTAAGTAGAGAGTTTTAGCCTTAATCTATAATTATTTAGCTATTACTATATAATTATAGTTAAGATATCGAGGAACTTAAATATACTAGTATAAGTAGAGGCTTATTTAGTAAAAATTAGGTAATAGTATAAAGTATATATCTAGTACTTATTTACTAATTATATATTTTACTAATATTAGATATTTAATTTTACTAGGAAAGCTATTTTAGATATTAGTATATAGCTAGAGGGGATAGTCTTAAATACCTTAAAACTTAATATTAATAATATTAATAAATTTGTAGAAAATATCCTTCGTCTAACGCTTAGTTAGAAGGATAATAACTTATTTCTTACTTAGAATAGTATATATAATCTAGATATAAAGAACTTAATATTAAAGTAATATTATTAGGAGTATAAATATATAGAAGCTAGATTACTTTAAAAATAGAATTCTACTTTAACTATAAAAGATATTATCTAAGGATAATATTATAATAAATAAGATAAGGTAGAGGAATAAAAGGAATAAGAGAAATAAAAGGAATAAGAGGAATAAGGGAAAGATAAATAAGTAGAACTAAGTAAGCGAAAGAAACGGCCTATAGTTTCTAGAGATACGCCCCTAAAGGGTAAAGATAAAAAATATAGAGCTAGTAGTTAGAGTTAGCTATAATAAGGTAAATATTCTATTTTAATACTCTATAGATAGTCTTACTAACTATTCTTTATAGATACTAAGGGTAAAACCTCTAACTATAAGATATAGAGTACTTTATACTTTCTTTAATATTATCTAAGAGTAGTATATAATAAGTCTCTTTTATTATATTTTTATAACTTTATATTTTATTTTTAATATTTAAGAGAGATAGATATTACTAGTAAATATTATCTATTAGATAGCTCCTTTACTTAGTAGATAGATAGTAGCTTCTCTTAACTTCTTTATTATATTTTTATATTTTTATATTTATATCGGGCGGTATAGCTCTTTTAAATTATTCTATATAAATTTAATTAGTTACTTGGGAGAATAAGATCTAATATATTAATTATTTATATTTCTTTAGTATACTAATATAATAATATAATTAATAGCTTATATAATATTATAGAAATAATAATATAATAAAGGATATAAATAACTAATTAATACTAATTATTTTTTAGTCTAGTATATTATATCTTAGTAAACCTAGTTCTAACCCGAGACTAACTTAACCTAATAAAATCGAGTCTAGATAGGAAATTATTTAGTATTAACCCGGTCGAGTCGGTACTTGAAGGCCAAAAACTCAGACCGACCCGGTACCGACCCCAGTCTAAATACCATTCGACCAAAAGATCATACATAGTGATGACGCTCGTCATCTCTGGTCGCTGCACTGCTTATATGCTTGATGTTTGGATGCCACGTGACGTGGGCTTGGTGGGCGCATGCCGCGCTGGCATAACATATGGGTTATACTTGTTTAGAACTAATTACTAACTCTTGGAAGAGAGCAGTGGGCAGAGATATATATATATATACATAAGTGGCTTAGTAAGCCTTAGTAGGAGCTTAGTCATGAGTAGGGCGGACTCTACCAGCATGACAAGTATATTGGTGTCAAATGGGTGCTGAACTAGGGTCTCATAACCTCTCGGAGGCTGAAGGGGGAACACGTGACCGCAGCCTCTGCAAGACACAACGGAGCAGCAAAATAATGCCTCAGCAACCAAATGAGCACGGGAAAAGGTGATAAATAGGCGTAGAATTGGATGATGATGATGGACCGAAGGTCCAGAGGCTATACTACGGCTATTTATCTATAGAGGACAAAGGGCCGTCGGCCGGCTGGTGCCTAAGCGAGATGAGGCAGGGGGTGGCGGCAGTGGCGTATCGCTTATTCCGATACGCTGGCCAAACACTATCAAGCTACATCTCCCGCTATCTTATTTCATTGCCAATTAAGTTGCTTCGCCGAACCCGCGGTCTACATTACATGAAACACCTCTCAAATCTTCACTATGGGCGTCATAAAATATACCATCGAACGGGGCAGTGGCGACTTCCTTACTAAAAATGACGTGGTGAAGACAGAACACTCGTGCTATTTTTACGATGGTACAAACCAAAAGGATTATTATAAAGGAGAGCAGTGAGTTTTACGGTACTCATCGTCCAGTTTTGTATTATCTAACTAGATCTAGTACGAGAATCACATGAAACTGTCGCAGACAAACGCTGGAAAGACACTAGGTATGGACTTGATTAAGAAGATGGAAGATGATTATCGACAACAGGTGGAGGAGCTTCGCCAGCTTCAAGTGAGCAAGATGAGGAGTGATGAGATGCAGAGGAAAGCACAGAAGAGCATGAGAGGGAACTTTCGCGCATGAGGGAGAAGCTCGAGATAACTAGCCGGGAGATGATTGAACGGATGAACCGAGAGCTTGCGGTCAGGGAGAAGAAGCTTAGGAATGAGATGCAGCGGCGGCAGCGCGAGCAGGAAGAGGCATACGCCTGGAGAGAAAAGCAACTCCGTCAAGAGAGAGAGAGGTTAGATGATGATGATTCCGATAATGATGGTTCCGACGATGATGATTATGATTCTTCTTCTTCTTCTTCTTCTTCTGATGATGATGATGATGATGATGATTTCAATATGGAATTGGCTCGTCTTCCGTATCACTCCAACGGAAGAAGGACCGTACGCAGAGGCGATGACCGCAGGCGTGCTACAGTCGGAATACCGTACGAATAACTACAATATTATAGTTTGAATAGATAAGAAATATTACTTGTCTTTTTATAAAATATTACTTGTCTTTTTATAAAAAATGATTCTTGTTTTTAAACGTTACATGATCACTTTTCTAGTACAAACAGCTGACCACATCTCTCGACAACGCTTTCCACGGTTTCCTCATAAGTAGCGTGGAATAAACCACTCCACTCGATGTAATAGGACTCCATGCAGGGGTCCTTAAGGACCCTAGCAAATTCTTCATAGGATTCATAAGCATGAGTATTGTGGGTAACGACGTACTAATAGATATATTAGTAAATAATAATCTATTTTAGTTATAGATAGAGATATAATACCTTCTTCAAATTTCGAATTGTCTTCCAATATTTGCTCTGGATATTGAATTTCCTAAAGTCTTTTCCCTTCAAGTCCGCAGCTCGCTGGCTAAGTCTGTGGGTAGAGAAGTCGTGGTTATCTACCTGGGGCGTCTTTTTAGAACTTGCTGGTGTATCCTTTGGCGATATTTTCTTCACAAGTTCTATCAACATATTTCCTATGAAGAGATTTGCCTTTTGTTGTAAGTAGATTTTTTTGTCTCTCTCTAGAGCTGATATTTTCTCAAGAAAGATTTGGTTGTTATCGAGAACGGTCTGATGTTGTTCCTCTAGTATGCGATTTGTTTCAGTCAATTTATTGTTTTGAATTTGTAGGTCCTAATAGTTTATAGGTTAGTATTTATCACTTTAGTAGAGAATAAAAATCAATAAAAGAATTATAGATGCTTACATTGTATCGAGCGCTGAAACTTCTCACTACCGGCGAAAGAGGTATTATTGCCGTAGGGTTACTGCGCTGGTAATACTCGTTGGTCGTTTCAAAATCGCGTACCGGGGGCTGCAATCGTATTCTTCGTTCTTCTAAACTGTCAACTCCTAGTTTCCGTTTCAATATGCCCATCGAATAGTCGCTAGTTATGTATTCTAGTGCCGACATCGTCTCGCCGTTTGCCCTAGGTGGCGTTAACTCAACAGTAATAAAAGGATCCATCGCAGCTGAATAGATGATTGTTAGACAACTTACAATGAGGACTTGCGATCGTTAAGAAGTTATGGGGACTTGCGGAGGGGAAAAGCTTTTCAATAGATATAGAAGGGACGTTTTTTACGCGTGTTGAAGGGGAAGGGATTGTACGTGTGAGAGGAAATGAAGAATAGCTGATTATAATATTACGTCACGAAGTGAGTCACCAATCACGTGAGTGGTTAGCGTGAGGGCGCTTAATATTGTATGGTAAGTGAAGCGACTATTTACGATCACGAATTTATCACTTTATAGAGTAATCTCTATAGAATAACAAGCAGAAACTAAGCACACTCAGTCCCTGCTCCAAGGCAGGCCGCCTTCTGACTGCGGCCAGGCCAGCTTCTGATCACCTATTTAACCAACAACTGTTAACCTACCCTGTTCACCACAGCTTCTGATCAAAGACAAACCTCGATCGCTTTCTCTAAATACGCTGCAGCAGCCTATTCACCAAGAATAACTGCTAGGATACCCTGTTTACTACAGCTTCGTATCATATATCAGATCTCAGTAACCTTCCTTGAAGTTACACTACAGGTAAGACATTCGTTGGGGAGAGGTCAGTTTGAAGGCCGTTGAGAGATTAACTATAGTAATATATAGAGGGAAAATGGCTACCGGCAATGCAGGCAATGCAGACCTACCCACCGATGATACTCTAGACCAGTTGGTCGACACTAATCGCCACATTCTGTCACCAGAAGGAGTGTCCGCGGCAATGCGGAGAGAATTTGTTGATATTATCCGGCCTATTAAACTAAATCTATGTCCAACCGAGGACGTTACCGATACCGATATTACTCGCTTTTTAGCGAGGGTCTTCCAGCAATGGACAACAAGGAGACCACACTCCAAGCCTGGAAAGATATGGGCACAGGCGTCATTTGAAGATACAGCTGTAGAGATTGGTACACTTACAAGATATTTACCAACTTCAGCTACTACAAAAGCTGACCGTGCTAATGTATACGACCGGGAGCCCCCTGGCTCTCAGACTAACAACTCTCGAAAGCGGGGTGCACCTATATTTATTCGGGCAGTTATGAATGACGGCCTCGACTCAGTGAACTTTCAGTTTTTAGACGAGAACTCTAAGATGGTATCCGGGAAGCAAGGAATATACTTCTCTGAGCTAGACAAGGCAGATATATACTTCTTAGCCATGGAACGCCATGATGCCTACTACGCTGGCAGAGTTCACGAATATAATCAGGCTATTGGGGTATTCCTTGCACGAAACCGCCTCCAATTCTGGAGGCAAGGAAATCCCGTGTATACGAGGCCTGAGGAGCCGCAAAACCTCATCATTCAGTTTGACCTCTGCCGAAATCTCGGCAAACATAGAGAGCAAGCGCTCGCAAAATTGCGGGCTTTGCCCGCGCCAAGTTATCAATGAAAAAAGGGTGGCCATTAAGAGGCAGACAGCGGAGAATCCGCCGGGATCATCACTCGAATCTTTTGACTATTTTAGATAACTATTTCATATATTCAAGGTACCCATTTATCCATATTGTTTCTTTCCTTTCTTTTCTATTGTAAAGTGCAAAAAGGTTAAGAATATTGGCCTCCAGAGGCCCCTAACAAAATAAAACCACATTTTTTAGCAAAGATAAAAAGCACTAAATATGTTACAGATCTACAGAAGCAAGATCTACAGAAGCAAGACCTACAGGCGAATATCTAATATATTCCCTATAAAATATCGAGTACATGATGTTATATTGGTAGTTGCCGCTGAAGCCCTGCTGTAGTGAGGGGTAGGATCGAATCACTAAGAGGAGGGTTGGGAAGTCGGGTATATTTTCCAGGATTTGAGCACTGATGCGTAGCTCCAATGGAAGAGTATTCAGGCCTGGCTCCATGATGAGATGATGTAGACTTGCGCGTAGGAGTACGTGACTGAGCTCATATAGTATAAGATGGGCGTAAAGGAGGAGCCAGGCGCCACAAATATATATATTGAAGCTTAGCCACCTCCAGACCATCGTGAACGCCACTCGGCCTAAGCCGCCTGCGCCCCTCCAGGGAGAGTTCTGTGCTATAGATAGATATAGCCTTGAACGGGCGAGAGTAGTAGGGAACGCCGCAAATGCGGCATTAAATTTTTCTCCTTTTTGGCTTAGTGTATAACGTGACTCTCTATACTCTGTACTCTAACATAATTCATTAATAGACAGGACAACGCCGTAGATGCGGCATGAAATTTCTCTTTCGCCCCAGCCTTGTGCGGAACGTGATGAAGTACAGCGATATGACTGGTAAGCCAGCAGAAGAGGGGCCAGACGCCAAGTCTTGGCAGACGCAGGGTTAGAGCAAGGGGGTTAAAGCGGCGAGGTAGGCCGTCTATATCGTCGCGCGCTAGTGGGAGACGCCTTCCCTGATTAGGAACGCTATACCGGATCAGGGAATTTGGTGAGGTCCAGGAGTACGGAGTACAAATTCTTGTTTCTGTTTCTCTTGCACACATTTGGATCTTATAACACTGGCAGTCGCTTGCATTCTTTTAACATGTCGAACTCGGAGCCAAGGATAGAAACATTTGTTGCAAATGACAGTACTCCACTTTTATCGGCCACACCTGATGAAGAAGAGGCCGACAGGATTATTTACGATGGTCTAAGGAGGGTTTCGGGTTCCTTCCCACTTTCAGTGTGGCTTATTGCGACTATCGAGCTTTGCGAAAGATTTGCCTACTTTGGAATTCTTGGCCCGCTGCAAAACTATATCCAGAATTCCGGGAACGATCCTCCGCAACCTGGTGGAATCGGTATGCAACGCTTCGGCCAGCTGTTTACGATTGTCTGACATGAATAGGACTTTGACAGGCTTATGCTACGACGATAAATCAAATGTTCATGCTTTGGTGTTTCATTACTCCAATAATGGGCGCTATAGTCGCAGAACAGAACTTTGGACGAGTGAGGACTATAGTATACTCTTCTGCGATTTATAGCTGCGGATTGGCAACCCTATTTCTATCCTCATTACCCGTTGCTAGAGATATTGGTGTGCCATTTCTGGGGCTGTCTGTGTCTTTATTTCTGATTGGCATCGGCGCCGGCGGTATTAAGACGAACGTTAGCTCCTTGATTGCAGAACAATACACTGGCCCCCAAGAACGCATTCTCGTGCTTGACTCAGGGGAAAAAGTCGTTATCGACAGAGATCTGACTCTTCAAAGGTTTGTCCCACGAAACTATCATTTTATCATTTTAGAGACTGATAGTATCAAGGATATTCACAATGTTCTTCTTATATATTAATGTGGGTTCTCTTGCCTCCCTCGCCTCTACGACAATAGAACAGAAGTACGGCTTCTCTGTTGCGTTTGCCCTACCAACAATAGTGTTCCTTATTGGGCTCATAATTCTGCTGACAAGCAAAGATCAATATGTTAGCCACGCGCCTGACAATTCTTTAATAACCAAAGCATGTCGAGTGATCTGGATTGCTGTTAAAAACAAATGCAGCCTTGAACATGCACGACTGACCCATCAAGCGGAGGAAGGTTCAACAGAAATGCCTCCGTGGGATGACCTTTTCATCGACGACTTAGGATGTGCATTATCTGCTTGCAAAGTTTTTCTACTCTATCCCTTTTACTGGGCTGCCTACTCTCAGCTTTTAACAAACTTCATTTCTCAAGCTGCCACTATGGAGACGCACGGCCTTCCGAATGATGCGATGACAAGCATAGATCCTCTCGTTACCCTCATTCTATTACCTATCCTTGATCGGTTTATATTTCCTCTACTTCGAAGCCTTGGAGCATCTGTTCGCCATATTGATAGAATGGCACTGGGGTTTTTATTCTGCGGCATATCCATGTTATATGCTGCCTTTATCCAACGATCTATCTACGCAGCACCGCCTTGCTATGACCACCCGCGATCAAAAGACTGTATGGGTGGGAAGTTCCCTAATCAGGTCTCTGTATTCCTTCAAATTCCTGCTTATGTATTGGTCGCCCTTTCAGAGATCCTTGCATCTGTGGCAGGTATTGAATACGCATATACAAAGGCACCGAAGTCGATGAAATCATTGGTAATGGCCGTGTATCTATCAACTGTGTCAGCTGGGGCATTGGTAGCTATGACAGTTTCACCATTGACGGTGGATCCGAGATTGACTTGGATGTATGTCACGCTTGGGATAGAAACTCTGGTGGCTGGTGCCGTCCTTTGGGTTGCTGCGATGCGGATGTGGTTTGAAAAAAGAAAGCGATAGGGCTCATGGCTACGGGTAATGATAGAGGCTGTGTAGAGCGTTGGGTCCTGCAACTGACGTGGCGGTGTCATCTAATGTTTATTTCAAGAATATAATATCAGACTTGAAATAAATGCCGCAGACCCCTGCAAGGATGGGACAGGAATACTCGCGGCGCATTGCGGAGTAACTAATTAACACTGCATATGCTGGTGCCCGGCTACTTGCGAAAGCACATATAATACCCTATTTATAGATTGGTGTTGCGATACAATATATAAGACTCCGAAAGTTCTACCACCAGAGGCTCTAACAACCTTACCACATAAGAAAAAGACAGAAAACAACCCTAAATAATCGAACTTGATCCGTTGACTTTGCAGGTTAGAATCCTCCGAATACAAGGCTTATCTTTGCACATTGCTAACAGAACCAGTACCAGTGATCGCCAACATAGCACGGAACATGGCCGATAAGCCAGGTGAATTGAAGAGCAAGGGAAAGGGTAAGGAAAAGGACCAGGAGAGCTATGTGGGAGAAGCATCCTATGGAGTCATGGATCAGCATCCGAGTTACACGCCGTTATATCTTCTGGAAAAGGGTCGCAGGATTAACGGAAGGAAATCCACGGCAATATGGCGTTGCAAGACTTGACGATGAACCAAGGAGGTGCAAGTAACATGAGAGGTCAGGGAAGCCAAACATAAGAATAGCAGGTTCTAGTGTTCTGGCACATTAAAAGCGTCACGAAGTTTTTTATCGTATTCCTCCTTTTCCTTCACCTTTCGTTTGAAAATATCGTGGGTATTAAATGCCCAATGGTACATCATCACAAGGCCGTATTGATCGTCGCTGTATTTGCCATGTCCAAGTCTTCCTTGGATTTTATCGATAAATAGATGGAAGATGGCGGTAGGGCTTTGTATGGCAAGCGAATACCAAAATGTGCCCCTCTCCCATCCTTTTGACATAATTGTCGATAGTCGCAGTTCCGTAAGATAGCTATTGTCTTCCTGCAATAGGATTAGTATAAATTCTGTCCATACCCCTTTGTATTTATTCTCATCAATAGTAGTAATGGATTGGCTTGTAAGCCAATAAGGTGGGTGAACCATCTCAACTGGTAGAGAACATCCCCATTCAAGATCCACAAGCGAGGTAATATTCCACTCCTGATCAACAAAAATATTACTCTGGTGGAGATCGGTAAGGGAGAATATAAATGGACCTCGACGTAGTTCTTGTCGGAAGAAAAGAGGAATAGAAACGCGCATTGCTGTAAGAGTTGTTACTTGCTGAATATAGTCAGAGCCATCATTTATAGCATTTGGTTGATAAAGAAGGCGATTATTATGAAGGCTAACTATATCGGTAAGATAGGAATCAGAAGTTGAGTACGTATAGTTACGTAGTATATTTGTCGGAATATATTCATTCTCTAGCTCTTGAATTTCAAGAGTTAGTGGCCAGTTTGATAAGATAATAAGGCCGTTATTATCAATAATGAATGACCCGATACGAGGTAAGGGAGTATGGCTAAGGCTCAATAGTATACGAGCGAGGCTGCGAAATAGAGTAGCCCTTAACGCGGTATTGTTTGAATTTTGGAGCCAAGTATCCGAGAGCATTCTTCCTTGATTTGGCTCAATATATTCTATTAGAATATATCCGGGGCCTGGGCCTGCTGGGGCTGTAGGTGAGTGGCGGATATACCGGGATAGAATTGCGTGTTGAGGCCATATAAATCTGCCAACCCATATAAAGACCTGGCGACGCAGATAGTGATAGCACCTAGCAAAGAATGGTAAATTATCTATTGCAGTAAACTGTGGTTTATTAGCTGCATATACATATAATTTAATAATGATGGATAGACCTACCGATTCGCCCGAGGACAGTGAGAATCCGTAAAGCCGTGGAATAGGAATACTGGGATGCTTTTCCTGGAGCCATGCATATGTACCGGCCTCACACCTAATCTTTTCATCAGCATTTCCTGGCCGGAATGTTTCGCCAATCTTGTATGGAAGAGGTATTCGAAGTAGAACGCGATTTCCAGGCTGCTCCCTCGACCAGTCTCGGATAGTAACTGGGATACATAGGTTAAAGCTACCCTGGAACCAATTTGCTGAATCTGCTATATCGCATTTCCCAGGGTCAATGTTCAAATGGTGGGAGATAACTCCCTTTATCCATGTAGCTCTACCAACCAGCTCAGCAATAAATTGGTTTTGCTTCTCGAAGTATCCAAGTCGGTGAAGGATATTGATTTCCTTATCCTTGGCAGCAGAGTAGGTAATCTCTTCTTGGAGAAGACGTCGTTTCATGATTGCGATCGTTCTCAGAGAATAACCGTGGATGGATGGAGAAGAATGTACAATCGCGCTTTGGTCGTTTGAGAAAGGTTGTTCCCCTGCCAAGACAATCTGGGGATGAAGTCACGAGACTGTCTATTAAGTAAGCAAAACGGTTTCACCTTGACCCCTTGAGCTCTACATAGTACAACCGCAAGCAACTATCGACCTATTACTCGATCTCAGGCTGGCTGCACGCCTCGAAACACAACTGCACACCCTTTATATTCCACGGACTCTGACTCCAACTCCCAGCAAGCAGCTCCCGGACGGAAGCAAAACGTAAGCGAGTTAACGGCGTCGCTACGTGAACAACAGCTATAGGAAGGTAGAGGGAACCAGAGAAGCTATAGGCAGCATACCCCGGCATTTTGAATGCAAAAAATGCTTACTCGGCCTTAATCTGGATAAAGACGCCCAAATATAGAGGCACATACCGCGATACCAGCTCTTTTGCGAAGGTCTCCTCACTTCATGTCTGATAGAACGGGTGAATGCCATCCCTAGTGAGCTTTTATAATGGATGATTACCAGAGCCTCGTCGTGGCTCAATTCTTCGAATCACTGCCAAATCTCTCCCAGGAATCGTGTCACCAGTTCGCCTTGCACCACATTGCCCCAATTCTTCATCCTAACACTACCAGCAAGGTAGATATATCCGACCCAGCCCTTTCCAGGGAAGCATGAGCTATACCGTTATATTACATACTCATTTCATGGACGTAAATCACCGTATTGCCGTCCAGTTCCGAAGCGACAAGCAAGACCTTTTCGGAGTCATCGAAGCTAGCCACATTCATGGACCTATGGTACCCCTGGTAACATACCAGGGCATGTATGAAGGGCTCTTTGTGTATACATCGCCTTTTGTAGAAGGGACACCTTATATCAGTGTCTTGATGTCTTCCGAGGATTTTCAACTGCCTCTTCAGAAGAAGATGGCGACTGTCCTGGACCTTGCAGACCTCGTCACTCGAGGAGCCAGAACGAACACTGCTGTATTTGACACTGCTCTATCCGACCTTACTTCTACTATTGAGAGAATCCAATATATGGCCAATAATTATATTTTTCGACATACAACCCTCAGAAACAAAATTTTTGCTTGTATCAGCAAGCTCTTACTACAGCTACCCAATCTTACTACCCTCCCCGTCACCCTTACCCACCAGGATCTCGCCCCATTCAATTACCTTATCGACGACCCTACGGGTCGGGTGCAGGCTGTACTAGACTGGGATGGTGCTCTTTACCTCCCAGTTGGGTCGAATTTCCATTTTATAGAAAGCCTTTTCGGGTTCATGACCCCAAGAGGTTGGCAAGACACAGAAGACCGACAGGAACTAGAGACAGCGTTTTATGATCGGGTTCTGGCTAATCTTGCCGCGCAAGGGTTTGAAGGAATAACAAAAGAGCAACTGGAGTCGCAAAAGGCGATTGGGATGTTAATATATGGTGTGGAGCGACTTCTCAAGTTTAAAGACGAGCGAGCCGAGCACTATCTAGATGGATACCTTCGAGGTTTATCTTTCATGAATGGATCCTTGTTGTCGTATTAGAGCAGTACTTGATGGGACCTTGGTGCGTTGAAGCTTCAGAGTATGCTTATCCGAAAGGCTACAGTATTAAGAGCCATTCAGAAAGTAACAAGGAATGGCCGCGCGGATCTCGCACAAAATCAAGTTACTGAGGTTTCGATGTGGTAGTATGTGCTAAATTTTCTACTTCTGCAGGTATAGCGAAACGAACACTCAGGGGGCATCATCGCAAAAGATGTACCTAAACAAGCGAGGTAGAGGATATTCCCAATGATTTGCAAAACTACGACTCTTCTCCGGCAACATCTACCAGCGGCATAACCTTGTCCACATGCTCCGTATAGGGCTTTGAGTCCTGAAACATTTTGTGGTTGCCAGAGTTCATAGGGGCACAGACATTATTCCCTTTGCACTCAACAACCCCATTTCATTGGTATGGAAGCTCCATCCAGTGATGACAGGTTCACTCGTTTCAATATTTTGTTCGGAGGGAAGGCGAAGAGGAACACTGATGGTGCCACGCCCACTAGGATGTGTGAACTCGATGAAATCCTCTGTCGGAAGGGTTCGGAATGATTGAGATTCGTTTCTCTAAACTGTGAGCTTTGAGAAACTCAGCGAGGTCTGAAGCGAAAGCTGGATCGAGCTCAATGCCTGGAACAGTCCATTTTGGCTGAGGAACCACAAGTTGGGCGTAATCTTGACAATTATTACTATGTATGCAAACTTTGTTTGCCATAGAGTGGCTGGCATTTGCCGTAGGATATCTCGCGAGAGAGTATTGTATACTCCTCATCACCTGGCCATCTTAATGTAGAGACAGTAAATTGTCGAAACTCGCTTTGGAACCGATACCATAGCCTTTCAACGGGGGTAAGAAGTTGTAACCTTCCTTCGCTCTTCTCTTTGCGATATTGGAGTTTTAAAAGTCGTAAAAACTCGTCTCCAAGCGGAAGCTTTCTCGCCATCTCATCTGCATGAACTTCGTCACGAGCTCTCTGCTCAGAGTTTTTAAGTTCTAGAAGTAATACTTTAAATTTTTTAAGTATCCTATAGCCGCTCTAAAACCCTAGTGTCATGCCACGCAGCATGTACATCAAGTGGCATTCCAACATCAAAGCATATAAGTAGTGCAGCGACCAGAGATGACGAGCGTCATCACTGTGTATGATCTTTTGGTCGAATGGCATATGCTGTACCATCGCTGCCGGCATACTGCCATTACACCTAGCCACGCGTTCATATTGCTCCTTTCGGCCATCACTCACTCCAAAGCAAAGGAGTGATTCACGGCAGTTAAGATTAGTGTCCGGAGTTCCCTTGCCATTAAAGGTGGCGGTAGTTTCAACCCACTCATTCAATACTTGACGACTCCAACATATTGTACGAGTTAAAACATTGAAACAAATTCTCCCATTAAAACAGAGCTTTGAAGAAGAGACGGTCCTATACTCATGTATTAACCGGTTTGCTGAAATCTGGGGTTGGGAGCGGCTTCCCCTGCTCATAGGCAATATCAGCGTCGTCATCGTATGGTATAGAAGGACCTTTGTAAGCTATAAAAATACATTAGTTAAAATCTTTAAGGTAATAAGAGGTAACTTACGTGGTATGCTAGATGTTCTAAAAAGTTCTTCTCTTTCTTCCTCGGACATAGCTTTAAAATAAGTAGTCAGCGACTGGCTATCTAGCGTCTTCAAGTAGTCGCGGTCTATCTTTGGACGAGGTTTTGAGCTAGTCGTGTCAGTAGTGTTGGAGGTTGTAGTCGTGTCAGGGCTGTTGGAGCTCGTAGAAGGCGACACTACTTTCTCATCGCTAGCCGACTCCGCCGGTGAGGAAGAGGTGGTTTTGGGCATGGCCAAGTATGATAAACGCGCCTTGAAGGGTGTAACAGTGATATAGGAGTTGGTTGTTTGCTTTAACTGGTGCTCTCTACTTTAAAGCAGATAGAAAGCGAGAGAGTCGGGATGATGGCCGGATGCCTCGGGCTGTCGGGAGAACATTAATGCGAGAGCGTGACCGAGTTAAAGCGGCGAGATGGATCGTTTATAACAGCATCAGGCGGCTTACTCGCTATACCGGATCGGGGAATTTGGTGAGCTAGCGGCTCCCTAGCAGTTGATGAGAACTGTACGTTTACATTTTATTCCATCTCAAAGGAGAGAGTTGTGCGTCGTGTTTACAGCCTTGATAGCTGATGTTGGTCTCTCTGTCAAAGATGCCAGGGTGGATGTTCACGTGCCAAACAATCCGTTCCCCTTGTCGATACCCCGCCGCTATGCTCAACGGTCTTTCATACCATAGAGCCAGTGTCCGACATGTCGCTCTCTGTTGAGATGGTTCAGGGGACGGAGAAGTCCTGGATAGACCTTTCTAACTCGTCGGGAAAGCTCGCGGCGCTATATGCGATCCAGGATTGTGGATATATTGTACTGAAAGCAGCAGCAAACACTGGATCGATAGAAGAAGCCAGGGACAACGAGGTGAGATATTCCCCATCGATGGTATTCAATTTAGCCTAATCCATAGCAATAGTATACTAAAGCTCTCCTCTCTGAAACACGGAATGGTGATTTTCAACCTAGCCATCCCGGATATATACCTGCCTATCGGCTTAAGGACCCCAACATCAAGATGAACCGGTCACGATTTTGGAGAGAACAGGCAATGTCTAGAGATCCAAAAGAACTTAATTACATCATGTGCTACCATCTATTTGGAGGCAGTCACGACATGTGGGAATGGGAATATGATAAGGGACTATGGGAGGAAGAGACGGGAGAAACTGAAGTGGTTCAAGCTGCTGGTGGAGACCTGTATGTCTTTTGCGCCGGATCAAAGAAGACCTTGACTGATTGTCTCTCAGAATCATCTGCAATGGCTGGTTACCCCAACGACCCCCAAAGCCGCAAGGGACGAAAGACGCTTTTGTTGTGAGCTATCGATGGAAGGGTTTCCACCAGGAAACCCAATGATACACCGGAGGAGTTGCAGATACCTCATTTACGTCCATCGAAAGTATTATTAGTAGCAATTTATAGCAGATGGGTGCATAGCGGTGCATTTAAAAGGATTTAATAAACTACTGGAGTTAGCAGACGCTTCCAGGGGCTGGCCGTACGACCCAGATGCTGCGTATGTACCGGCTCGAGCAGTTGACGAGCAGTTCTCATAAGCCAGTCAGAGTAGAGCATCTACATCTGCGAGAAATGTCTGCGCAACACTGCTCAAATTCTCCCTCCTGATCGAGTACGTTCCTGTAGCAACTTCATATTTCACCTGTTCCACATCACCCTGTAGGACTAGCCAGCAGGGAAAAAGAAAGCCTCCGACCTCCCAGCCTACTCGGGAGGCAGCATCAGGGAACACATCTAGACCACTTCCTCTATCACAACCTTGGGCCGTAAATGAGTCCTCATACGATGTTTGCCATGCATAGTAGTAGAAGGGTGCCAACGTAGGATATCGCTCCTCGATTGTTTCTTCATCAACATGTGCCTCGCCAGGCGGATTATGAGGCCAACGGGTATCGTACCAGAGGAACGACGTCTGCCAGTCTGGGACCAACCGGTAATGATAGAGTTGGCCGATTCCTCCTCGCACTCGACGATTCGGGCTCTGGCCTGCGGTAATCTCGATGGTGGTGCAGCCTGTATCGCCGTTATTATGGACGATAAGCCGTAAGCCGTATGCTGTCTTGAATAAAAGACGCCCATTATCCGGGCAATACCGCGCAGGGAAGGGTTGTCTCCAAAGACTCAAGACACTTTGCGTACATTTCCACAGAATCGCTTTAAGAGCTGTTAACCCAGGCAGACATGTGGGTTTATAGGGGGGAAGTCTGGTGCTCTCCGGATTCTGGTCGAGAATGCTGCTCTTTCGATGCCATGAGAGCTTGCCTTCCCGGCGGCTCGATTGATCAGGATCGAGGATGACTCCTGGCTGAGCCTGGGATATGAACACCTCTAGAGGTCGCAGTGGAGTTGTCATGTCTGCCGCTGTTTGGTCAAGGCAATGTCGTGGTTGTCGTGATTGTATTAACTATTCAAGTCGTGATTATATATAATATTGAAGTTAGTCGACGAGAGGCTGGCATTGTGAAGACTGCCCGGAACCTGAAGGCCCTCCTGATCCAGGTATAGAGGTCTCCTAATATAAGGATCTATTGTTACTCAACATAGTGTGCTAAGAGAGGTTTTACAATTATACTTCTATGTACGCGCGCATCCTGCCTCTGTCATAGAGCTGCTAGAAAAGACCAAGGTGGCAGTCGATAAGTAGTATATTGTAGATTATTTTTATCCTGATATATCTGGAGGGTACTGGCGATGATAACAGGAGTACCCAGGATATTACACTACCATCTGACTGCTTGTTGCTCTCGATGGCCATGGCTAATAGGCTGAGGCAGCGTTCCAACTACTATCTCTGCTAAGTGTTTAATTCTCCATCTCTGTTGCGCGAGTCACTCCACTGACTGCGGTGTGATGTTGTCCACCGATAGATGCGCCGCATTCAGGGCAGCGGGCCAGCTCCATAGGCATGCCACACTCTCCGATGACAAACTAGAAAGGAGTCAGTAAGATGAAGCTGCCACGTTATCACGATTTCGATGCGGTGCCAACTTACAGGGTGCCCGTTCGCACAGTTATACCAATGACCGGAGTGAGTCGCAATACCACGGGGACCGCTGAGCATCGCAGCCTTGATCGCTTCTTTCTCGGCAGAAGTGACTTCTTCATACCATTCTTTCTTCATGGAGGCTATCGATTCTTCGACAATGGCACGCAAGCCCTCAGCGTTGTGGAAGCGGAGTTGGCAGATCTCATGAGCCTTCTCCAGCATCTGCTTTGCCGTGCCGATATACGCTTCAGCTGCGTCCAGGTTTGTTTTGCTAGATCGGCAGAGGTACTCGAATGAGCGTGCGATGCTTGCATAGAAAAGAGACGCTTCAACGGCCAGCTTTGGGAGGTTTTGGATTTCGCATTCCGCGGCGAACTTCTTGCATACTTCGAGAAATGGCGGTGCAAGTGTACCAGGAGACTTGCCGGGGCGTTCGATAGGAATCGACCCCAATCCCTTGGAAATGATGAATTTATTGTCAATGATGAGGTACTCCGTCTTGATCTGCGCCATCAGGCCGCCCATAGTAATCTGGCTGTCACGCGAAAGGGGCAGGGCTACCTCATCAGACAAATTCAGGTTTGCTAATTGGATGTCGACCGACAACCCGGAAGCAGTAACTCTTCTTGCGGCATGAATCGTCGCCTCGTGGAGTTTCTGCGCTGGCTGGCATTTGTCGGCAAAAGCATTCTGAAATGCTACAACGGCTTTCACGAGCTTTTTGGCTTCTTCATTTCCCTCACGGAATGATTGGTTGATAGATAAAGCTTGGGCTGGCGTTAAAGGACGGTCAGATTCAGTAGCTTGCTCCATAGCCTTCTCCCTAGTTTTATGTTGCCGTTTTTGCAATTTGTCAATCCGCCGCTCTAACTCTCGGAGCCCGTCTCTCCCACTCGAGAGAAACCGTTTGGACATCTCATCAATGACGGCTCGATTGACGACCCTATTATATCTCTGTGTTGCAAATTGTCTTACCGAGCATTTGCAGTCTGGGCAGAAAGGAACAGATTGTGCCAAAGCCGTGGATATATCTTTGAGCCCAGTAAACTCCCCTTCTGCATCAAGTTCATAAACCTCGCCCATGCTCATAAGGCCATCCAGAGATTCTGCGGTGAAAAAGTGACCACACCCAAGCACAACTATCGGGCTCTCGTCAACGTCGATTTCCCCGTAGGATTTCATCTCAAGGAAGTCCACTCTGGCGTCAAGTCTAGCGGAGCATTTCTGGCAATAGCCTTCTGCACATTCTTCACCACAAATTCCTGGACATTGGTGTCCGCACGAAAGAGTTTTAGAGCAACGTTTGTTGCATGGAAGGCGGTTGCATGGTGCAGCACAGGGCATTCCACAGCCTCCTTTATGCTCACAGGACCAGGTGCAGCTCTCTATACAGGGCGCACAGGGTTCATGGCAGCGTAGTGGGCATTGAGAATGAGAGCATTTAACCTATACCTGTTAGCATTGGACTTAAATGTCACGCACAAAAAAGATAGACTTACTTCACATGGTGACAAGCACGGCCCACAATCAGTACCGTTATGACATGTCCTGGGACACGTATGGTTGCAGGCTCCGAAGCGTCTTCCACAGATGTTGGTACACTCCTGGTGTTTCTCTTTCTTGTAGCATTTGCTACAAGTCCCGGGGCAGCGGTGGCCACAAGACAAGGATTCCTCACACTTTGTCGGACACTGGAAAGTTGAGGATGACACATCCCGAGAGCAGGGAACTTCAACAATATGATTGCATCCTGGGACTTGCTTCTGGACACGGACACTGCAAACGATGCTATTAATGTCCCGCAGTCGGTAGCAAGGAACTGCATCTTTAGTGTGATTGCACGGAAGAAGTACATTGTCGATCTTTATCATGCAGAGTCCACAATCCTCCCCACAAGTTTGCTTTTGACAGCTATGATTGCATGGAGAATGCAGTCGCTGACAAGGCTGTGGACATTTAAACACTTCGTGCATGCTGTCCGAGTGACATCGGGCTAAACATTTATGGCCACAGGTGGTCAAACGCCTATCGCAAGGCAATTGGCATCCACCTTCCGGACTGAATTTCTCAAAGTCTAGAGGCTCGGAGACTCGCATAACTGTATCCATATGTCGAGAGCAGCAGAGTCCAATCTCCTTTCCAACCGAATGGCTGGCTTCAAGTAATCCAAGGACATGAGCCCACATTGGTATGTTCGAGTAAGTGTCGGCATTCCCGATCAAATACATGCCATGTTGAGCACGGCTGAGAAGGACGTTGATGCGATTTGTCGTTCTGAGAAATCCTACTTTTTTCTCCTTATTGCTTCGTACTAGTGAGATGATTATGATTTTACTTTCCTCTCCTTGAAAGTTGTCAACGGTTGCTATACGAAGGAACTCGCTAAGTTTCTTCTTCGTAAGTGGTCTTATCTGTCTTTTCGTAACATCTCTCAGATCTTCTTCTAACGGGGAGTCTTCGTCGAACCCATCCTTCGCTAGTGTCTCTTGGTCCCGATCACTTAGCACAATTTCAAAATCGTTCCGCAGTTTTGTTCTTAGTTTTTGCAATTGTCCTGTATACGGCGTTAAAACTGCAATATCTCTGCTGTTATAGACGCCTTGCCGAACAATATGACGAACGAGAGAATGTGTCATGTCCACTTCCCAATCGTTACTATGTGACTTTTGGTGCCGATCTGTACCTGCAGAATTTTCCATATTCTCATGATCTAGCCAGAAAACATTATGTCGCATACCGACGACATCAGGAAAGGTTTTTGTAGATGGATGGTCAATAAGGCGAGGGTAGAGGGTCTCCCGGATCAAAGTAGATATTTCAGGGCGCATACGTCTTTGTGTGTCTAATTGTGCTACTGGGAATGGAGTTCGTCCGGGCTCCCCAACCGAGAGTCGTTCAAACTGGCTCCGGTCAAGCTGGTACAGTCCTCCTTGCTTGCTTTCAAGCGATAGTCCATAATTGTTGATCTGTGGGCGTAGTTGTTGGTGATCGCCTATTTGGATGAAATGCTCGACACTGGGCAGTAAGGCTGATATCATATGGGGTTCCATGACCTCTCCGGCTTCTTCACAGATAACCACTTTGCTTCGTATATGCCGAAGAACCGAAATTCTTTTGGCAAGCCCCGTTGTGGTGACGCCAATAACATCCGCAGTCTCGAGAACTCTTCTGTCAACCTCGTCGTGTATTCCGCCTAAGTGTTCGTAATGCTTATGGGAATCATCCACAAGCTCAAACAATTGATCGGTATTGATTTCGTGAAGCTCTTGCATCCAAAATTCAATTAAGAGCTGCCTTTCACGAACCGCCAGATTGAAGATGCTCTCGGTGTTAGCACGGATCAGGCTTTCGCGGATAATGGTATCCTCGTCTGATGAGAATCTTTCCCTAAACTGTTGTGGTGTTGAACCCTTGCCCCAGATGTCAAATGGGTCTTTACCCATAGTCTCGTAACCATCCTCATCATACTGGGAAAATTGTGAAAATATACGTGGGTATCGCTCTTTGATATGATTCTTGAGGTGGTTCCAGTTGCGTCTCTTCTGCATAGGACGTAAGGAGGCGAGTAGTTTTGTAATATTGGGCTCGTTGTTCCTAAGAGCCCCATACGTTTTGGCAGCTAGATACCGTTCGGTCTTCGTCTTCCCTTCGCTCTGTGACACAATACGAAGGTTTTTACCCTCCAGAACCTTTGACTTGCTCTGGCCTCCAATCCGGATGATCTTCTCTACGCCGGCTTGTACAAGTTCCTCGAGAAACTGATCCAAGGCATGATTCGTGTAGCATCTAGCGAAAAGTTAGCCATTATCCCTTGAGCAATAAGATTAGCAGCTTACACGACTACTACAGGTCCTAATTTGGATTTCTTCTTACAGGCCAAAAGAACCCTCATAAGACGGATACCAATAAACGATTTACCCGTACCCGGTGGACCTTGTATAAAAGCATACTCGCGCGTCAAAGCCGCCGCGAGTGCTTGACACTGGCCGTGGTCAAGCGTGGTCCGAGTTTCAAGCTCACGAATAACGGCACTATCACCAGGCGAAGAATCAGGGCTGAAGGAAAATCGGTCACTCTCCCTAGTGAGAATAGAATCCAGTGGAAAAGAATAGCCTCGACCACGAGCATAAAGTGGCGGGGGAATAAGTGCTGGTCCTCCTGAGGTTGTAGCAATTTCGGGTAAAATCCACTGTTGGAACGGTAGATAACTAGAACGTTGCAAGTCCTGGAGGGTTTTCAAAATAGGCATGAATGTAGCAGGTATTATTCCTGGAAATTCAATCAGAATTCCGTTTATACCCCGGCAGCTTAATTCAGTTAATAACCCAAAATTTGCCTGGTTGCGAGTGGCCAGCTTGGTGTTGATTGTTGAAATGTATTCGTGTGATCCTAAGTTGAAAGCTGCATTGGGATCTGTATCTTTCTTACTCACTGTAAGGAACAAGATGGAAGGCCTGCCAGAGATAATAGTGACAAAACACAGAAGAATACCTTCTTCAAGGCGTTTTGAGTCTTCCCACCACTTACATCTATTAGATGCAGACTTCCCTCGAAGAACAGGAAGCTGGCTGAATGAGACTTGGGCTTCGATGCCTTCTTTTTGTTTAAAGGTGACATAGCGGATATGGGCATTGGGGTATGCGTATGCTCGCATATCCCCAAGTGGGAGCTTCCAGTTCTTAAGCAATGACGTATCATCACCGATAGCATGTATCAATATCCCAAGAGCTCCTTTTAATTCTCCAAAAGTGTCATGCCGAAGAAGGCGGAATAATGTATCTATGTGACGCTCTGCGGCATTTGTGATGAAGTGAGGCTGATCGCGATCAGTCGTTGGTAAATAGTCTGGCTGGTCACTGCGGATCTCTTCTTCTGTTGGAAAGATCTTGATCTTTGTTATATCGGCATTGTCATTATCATGGCGTGTGCCTGGTATGATGATAGGTCGTGGATATGATGATTTAACGGTGGTAGAAACTCCATCAACCGTGAGGACCTCGGTCTCCTTGTCTTTTAGAAGACCAGTAGCCCGTCCAATTCGAGCTCGAAGCTCAGTAATGCCAACCTGAACCCCAGAAGACTTTGCGTCAAACTCAAGGACTGCTGCAACTTTTTCCAAAGAATCAACCAATTTTGGTATGTCATCGTGGTAGATAGCTCGTTGCTCTCTCTTCAGGAGCTCACGCAATGCAATTCCCATAGCAATAAGTGTAGTTTCAGTGGTGGTTTTCGATACTGTAGAGTCGCCGTAAGCCATCTCGAGATTATTGCAAAGGCGAAGAAAGAATTCCACTGCTCTTTGGCCATTGGCCCCGCTGATGAAGTTATACAGCCCTCCAACAGCTGTATCAACAGATAAACAGTCTAGAATAGCAGGATGTGTGATAACTGAAAGGAAAGGTTGCGAGAGATCAACGAAGGTTTGATATCCACTACCATGAGATCTCATACTCAAAAGAGTTTGAATATGTTCGCGGCCATAGTAGTCATCAGATTCCAGGTCTCGTGGAAGCATTTGTTTCCAGTTTCGATCAAACCCATCTAAGATGTCGAGGGCACCAGTCCATAGGCGTTTGATAGTAGCGATATCATTCGTTATTGGAGGATTCTTGATGATTTTCTTCCATGAATTATAGTTCTCTCTCTCTCTTCTTCCTGTTGGAGAATCTGAGTTTTCCTTGGTTTGCTCTTTGCTGGAATTTGATATATCGTGGGAATAAGTGCACTTATCACCATAAGGACATTTTTTTCCATGTTCGATGAATCGACAGAGCTTGTTTTTAGCTTCCCCCTTCTCCGGCCTGTTGTATTTTTTATTTTCTTCTTTTTCCGGGCCCTTTTTGTGAGGCTTGCCCATCCACCGCCTGGCAGCAGGCCTGCCTGGAGTCGCCATAGGGTACGCCGTTCACCTAAGCCGATGTAAAAGCGGTTAGCCGAACTGGCAGATGCGGAAGATATCCAGTCAGAAGCTGAAGGAGGAGGATAAGAGCATGAAAAGAAAACTCACTTCGTGTGGTGCTTATAGATATTCTAAGTTTAAAGCCTTAACTTTGCTTTGTATGTCGGTAGCGGAACTTCCCAGAGTTTAGCGTATTGCTAGCAGCGTTCGTTCATGCGTGGAGCTTCTTCCCTTGTTTCTCGGATTTATCGTGCAGGACGGAGTAGAAGACGAGGCCTCATATTTATATCCCCCACCACCACCTACTTTCATGTCACTGTAATTTTTAATGCACTTACAGGACCATACACAAGCTGGCCAGATATATATGTCACCAGCAGATACTATTGGCGACTGGTAGCAAACGGGAGCAAGCAGTTTTGTTGAAAATTACCGCCTGCCGAGACGATCAATTACAGCTTGTATTTTATAGCCCCGCCTGCTCAGCTCTGCTGACTAAGTGTTACTCTGGGTCGCCAGGCAACAAAGGATATTTTGATGCTGAGCAGTACAAGCTCTTCCTAGTAAATGAGCCACTGCTTCAAATACTCAGGAGTGAATCTTGCTGTTGCAAGGCGTCCATGATTGACATCGATGACGAGGATTGCCCGTTCACCATCCTTGACATGACTAGTTGAAGTCACTAGCATGGCAATGCCTTTTTTTCTAATTGAACATATAGCCTCCATTCTCTGGAAGCTGTTCTTTGGCCCTGATCGGAAAGCTCACTGTCGTATAGGAGGCAAACGCGATGGCCTCTGCGTGGGTGGCGATATTTTCGTCTCTCAACCTCCAACTGGACAGCCTGTACACTTGGTAGGTGACTGCCTAATAATGCTCTTTCAAGCACAGTCTCCGGCTAAGAATCACTGCTTGCTGAGCATATATATTGGTATATCCACGCAACGGGTGGCTGAGTGTGTATATTTTGAAATCCCAGTGGAGATGTCTGGATAGCCGCTGGTCGATTCATTGCAACCACAAGTTGTAGCGCGGTAGACACGGTTATAATAGAACCCATTTACAAGTTCTTTCATTGGGAATATTCAGAAACAGGGTCTGGCAAAGGAAACTGTTCCCGGTCCACGCGCACTCCAGGCATGTAGAATAATGACGGGTCGAGGTTTAGCGCCGGGTATTCGGGCGCCTATATCACAAAAGGAGCTCCAACGCATAACCAACTTGCGGCTGGCCTCAAAGAGTGCGTATGTGTTTTCAACTCCCTCGTCGCCTGGTATATCTATCCAGGGCGCAATGTTGTACTCGGGATTGTGCCACGAGCTGATTATCGCATATTTAGCGAAGCTGCACGGGAGTATGCTTGTTTCAGAGAAGTCAATAATGGTGACACGTCCGTCGTCGCTGATAATGAAGTTTCCAGGATGGATATCCGAAAAGCAGAAGACCATGGGTTCGTTAGAGAGCCCTTTCAATCGCAGTTTAGATCTTGCTTTTTCCAAAAACTACACATATCTATGAGTATGATGTTTTGAAATACCTAGGAGCAGATATACGTTAAGGATATTGAGTAATACGTACCACATTGAGATGCTGCTCGAGCTGATCAGTGTTTTGGTAGCGCCGAGGGGCCTCCAGATCCAGGAACATGATATGACTAAAAACTCCATTATCAAAGGCAGACGGGGGAGCCTTTGGGGGAATGGGAATGCGCAGCAACTCCTGTACGCCCGCAGCCATGTGTCGGTATACCGCCTCTCTCTCCGCTGGGACAGAAGTGGACTCGAGTATCTGGGTTCCAGTCCTACCATGAATATACTCCATAACAATATAGGTGACATAGTCGGCCTCAAAGGCGTGGTAAACCGCTGGAACAGCAACAGGAGACCGTAGTCGCAGGAGCTCTTGCCGAGCCAGGGCTAGAGCATGAACTTCATTCCACGTAACTCCATTGCCATACTTGATCCAACACACGGGCCTATCATCGGACGGATAGGCAAGACCCCTAAGAGTTCGACGCCCTCGTTTTGTGCAAACGGCGATGATCTCGGCAGTCGTTGGGAGCTTGACACCAGCAGGCGGGTCTATGCCCCGAAATTCTCTGGACACAGACATGTGGGATGAGGGTGGGTTACCTGGCAGGACTAGTAAACGTAGCGGGCTTCAGAAGAAAGCATCAAAAGAGTCAAGGGATGGAGTCTGTATTCTAGGTGTTTGCCATCAAGAAGACAAGTTCTAAACTCCGGCGGAGGCTCTTTGTTGGATTAGTCATGGCCTAAAGTCCCGACACTTTGCCCCATTATATAAGCATGCGGGAACCGTTGGCTAACCTTAAGCTTAACCTGCACCCCGCCAAGTTGCTAAATAACCACTAGTTATATACGGGAGGCCTCTGTATAACCAGATTATCTGGTGGGCAAGTTATAACAAACTCTAACCTGCGCCTTGTACTTAAGCGTAGTTAAGGGAGGTTAGGTGTAGAAAAACTTGCGACGAGGAAGAGAGAGAGAGAAAGTTGCTAGCCATAAGAATATTGAGTATCTATAGATACTGGCAGTAACTAGTACTATATAGAGCTATATGATCCTGTGAATGAAGCATAATACAAGTACTCATAATTCGTAGAAGCCTTGAAATAGTCAAACACTGACGTGTTGGAATAATTGTCTACTGACCGCTGCCGTTGTAGAGAAGCTTGTTGGTGGTGCTGCTACCTGGGTTCTGCACGGGACCAGAAGCCACCTTGATAAGCTCCGCACAGAGATCAGCCGGAGCAATGCCCTTGGAAGCCATGAGTGTAGCACCAACACCGCCAACATGTGGAGCAGCCATGGAGGTTCCCGACATGACCCCGGTGGAGTTGTTAGGGGTAGCGGAGGTGATTCCTTGGCCGGGAGCATAAATTTTCACTATATTAATGATTAGATAAAGATCCAAGAATCGTAAATGGTGGTAAAGGGAGAATTACCAACTGATCCGTAGTTAGAGAACTTTGCCTTATCGTCCCTGATGGTGGTAGCGGCAGCACAGCACACCCCTTCAGCGGAAGCGGGACTCTTGTTGGTAGCATCTTGCTATGTGGGCGTTAGAATGTGATAAAATGTGAATGTGGAGGGCTGACGTACGTTGTCATTACCAGCTGCGACGGAAACAAATATTCCGGCCTTTGCGGTCTTAGTGACTGCCTGGTTGGCTGCTACCACTTTTCCACCACTGATAGACAAATTCAAGACAGCCTTTCCGATGATATTCTTCTTGGTGGCGTCTTCAACACACCACTCGAGAGCTTTCATGATGTTACTCCATAGCCCAGCACCATAGTCATTAAGAGCCTTCACAGCAACTACGTTTGCATTCTTAGCAAGACCGTATTTAGTTCCGGTAGCAGTGGCTGCGGTGTGCGTTCCATGGCCCTGGCGATCATTGTCTTTAGTACCGTTGACAACATTGGTACCCCAGACGGCACGGCCACCGAAGTCGGGGTGGTGGATATCAATCCCGGTGTCAACTCCATAGAAAGTGATACCCTTTCCTGCCCTTTCATCGTACACATAATCACGGGTGCCGTTATGGCGATGAGAGACTCTTCCAAGTCCCCAGGACGGTGCATCCTTTTGGGTGACAAAACCGCTGATGTAAACATAGCGATCATGCTCAACGAAGTCGACCTATGCCATGCGTCCGGTTAATATACCTCGATAGTGCTTCTCGATTAGGTTTCGAGCTTCGCTCACCTTGTCGTTATTAAGGATCTCATCAAGAGTTTCCTGATGGAAAGATCCGCTGTACGCATGCCATCCGTTGATCTTGTATGAATATTTGAAACCGTTTAGGCCGTCAGCACCTCGCCTGCTAACACTCTCACCGTGAAGGTCGGTAGCCCACGTCACATGGGAATCAAATTCAGCAGATGTGACAGAGTCTTTCATAACCACAAGGTAGGAGTTTGGGACAACATCCTTATCATTCGGGGAGCTAAGAAGCCTTGCAGCATCGACAGCTGATAAGGCAGCAAATGCCGTCAAAATCACCTTGAAAAGGGCCATGATGTAAAATCAAAGTGGTTCAGGTTACGACAAAGATATGGCTTGGGTCATGGTGGTTGGGTATATAGTATATATAGCAGAATATTCTGATATGTAAGAGGCCCGGCTTTCGAGAATCTTGGGAAGTTCTTAGGGAAATTTACTCCAGGCCAAAGCAACATTAAAATATGCGTGATTAACCGTCCATCCTCGTATCAGATATGAGTGTGGAATATAAAAGCATAGGCTATTTTGATGCCTTCCATGCAATTGAGTCCTCGCGTTTTTGCATTAATCTCAATCACCATACGATGATCGGCCAGGATATCCCAGGCTGGGACACATCTTAGATAGCAAATTGCCCACTGACCACTGGATCGCCATTTTCACTGCTGTACACAGAAGGGTCAGGCCAATCTGGAAGAACTCTTGCTCTGGAGGTATTGGGAACTGCAACGAGAAACCCTTCAAACTCCATTTCGCTGCCGTGTATCCATAGTTTGTTGCAAGACGCCTTTCCGAGGGAGTCATATAAAGGCCATAGACCTTGCATTTCTCGAGGTGGTTCCGCTTAAAATCATACGGAGTTATCCTCTTGTCGACAAGAGCTCGTTAGTTGTGCCAATGCAAAGTTTCTCCGCCGCGGGAAGGTAATTTTGATATGTACTATACTATGTATGAGGTTCTAGGTTAGGTTAGCACGCGTATTTTATACTTCATATTTAGCCTATTAAATAAGCATACGCTAACCTGGTTGGGAACCGCATATCACAACGCCTTCATTCCATAAAGCCGTGGGAATTCACCAAGTCCAACCGTGCTGACAGTGCTTGATAGACTGCGCAGCGAGAAGAAACCGGACCAGCATCCTTTGGGTTAGGGCTAGTTATCGATATGGCGATGTTAAGGCGATGCGACGTTGCTGGCAATCGAGATAAGGACATTGACTGATCCTAGGAGAGCAACACGGGAGCAACAGGACTTTCTGAAGGGCTGTCCTGTAATATAACGAAGATAGGATAGATTTCCGAATGCACAGCTACTTCTTTAATCGAACTTTGATAGACTGCGCTATAATCTTATCCCAGTAGCGTAGCCAGAGGTCCGCTCACTGCAAAACTTGAGCATCTCTCAACGCATTTATGGCTTCACCAGTCCATTCTTGACATCGACGAATTGGCTCCAGGGGAGATAGCCTCTTTGCGCCTTCGAACTGCTTTTTGGGAGGCGGAATACTTTCGCATATACTCTGGATTCGACTGTAACTGGCATGCGTAACAGTGCCAATCCCTCGCTTGCTAATGAACGAGGCTGAGCTTTCAGGTTCGTTTTCGGGTCTCTGCTCGAAGGACATGCCGTTCTGTATATTTCCTGTAACCTGGAATAAATGGCCAGTCTTTTCGCCGGATTCATTGGTCTCGACAAAGATGGCGTGGTGGTTGCGGGGGAGACCGCCAGAGACGATGAGGTAGACAGGATACGACATCTTGCGGTGGGCTTTCAGGGTATCAAGAATAAAGTAACAATATTATCTATACGTCGTCGTCAGTTGTTCGGTGTGAATGTAGAGCGTAAGTTCCAAGTTAGCATGGCATGCTAGTACTTTTAGGATGGTGGCTGAAAATAGATAGTTTTTCCCAACTACCAACGTCAAGCAAAGTTGACAGTGGAGGGCGATGCACAATTAGCAGACACAACAAGGCCATAATTATCATCGAATAATCGACTAAGCTATTGGACATTTTAGAGTATGATCGCATCTTAGCAATTGTATCATACTAGAAGAGCCTCGCGTCATAAGTGCAAATTTAGGGATTAAAATGGTTAATTCAATAGAGCTAGTAATAGGAATTCTGTGTGATGAAACGAACCGAGCTAACATACGTTGCTATGAAAGGTATATATATGCGCGAGTAATGGACAATAGAAAGGAACAGACAAAAAGAAAGAGATATGTACGGTGTAGAGTAACGCCAGTTATTTTCCCAAGATAACACCCTAAAACGACAAAGGAAAGGCCAGCTAGGGCCATAAGCTTATAGTAGGCAATGCACTCCAAGATATATGGTAATAAAACAAGAAACAAGCAAAGTGGGCAAGGTAGCTAGGCAACTATCCTTGGATTTCGTGGGAAGCGTCAATGAGAGACAGAACAGAAAAACGACATAGATCGATCACTTAAGAATCACGATCAAGATCACCAGCACAATGATCAAGCCGATGATGGTCATCAGGCTCTTGTTTCCCTTGGACTTTTCTCTGAACCTGCCAAGGCTCCTTCGTGCGCCATCCAGTCGCCCCTGATGTCTATCAACATGGCCATCCATGTCATCTAGAAGTGCAACTTGGCCCTCCAGCTCATCCCCAATCTGGATACTAAGCTGGTGCTGACGCCCAATCGACTCGCCCAGCCGGTCCAAGTGGTCATCTTGCTCCTGCATAACCTGAGCGTGATAATTATGGATATCCTGGTTCGTAGCCTCAGAAGGGTCAAAACCAGGTTGTGGCGAGTCAGAGTATGGCCTGAGTAGGGCTTCGCGGTTAGGATCATGTTCTTCCGCACTTGCGGTTAATGTGTCCGTGAAACGAACAGATTTAGAGACCGGGTGCTGCGGTGTGGGGTGTTTGAGGATCGACGGAGTGCTGCTAGCACGAATAAAGTCTTCAGCCAATTCGGCATTGTTTGGCTGGACGGATGATGGGGCTAGTGCAGATGGGTTGTTCTCGTCGCCCCCGTGGAACTGTCGTGAGAGATCCTCGTACTGGGCTCTTAAAGAGCTGGTTTGTTCTTTGAAATCATTTGACGACCTATGGGGGGGGGAATATTAGTGGAAATTACGTTACAATGAAGCGATATTGCGAGGTGCTTACGAATCTCCAGCTGCGACCAGCCTCTGGACCTCCCTTTCGGCTGATTCCAGGCCCTCTCGCAATGACTCTAGAGAGCGGGATATCTCTCCATCCTGTGCGTTGGGTTCAAGTTCAAGGGATATCGCCCTTTGTCGCTCCAGCAGAGAGAGCTTTATGTGATCCGCCAGAAGGAAAAGCTGAGATGGATTGCTCATGGTCGATAAACAGGCTGGAATGTTTTGGACCTTATAAATCGTCAATATCCAAGAGAAATAGCTTGTACTGTTCCGCAGAGTGTATAAGTAGAATCGGTAGAGCTAGCTTTGGCTATTGAACCAGAATAACCAGTGCCCTCAATCTCATCTTCTGTTCTATCTATCAAAAAAGTCCAGAGTCCCAATGAAGTTGATGCCTTGGAACTCTTCCTGAAGTCGATATTGACTTTATGCACGGGCCAATCCCATTCAAGATTTCACGTGATAATATATGACTAATAAAACTTGGCAATACACTAACCCAAAATGGGAAGGTTCATCATTTGCGTGCCGCATATCACATGACAAATATGACTAAGCAATATCACGTGTAATTTGGCTGTTTGATCATCTTGAAAGTCGGCAATTTTGTTGGTTTTGATACATCGAGAACGATGACGGCGATGTCAGTGAACCATTCAAACACCGCAGCTTTGCTTCCGGAACCTCGTTCTGATGGCAGACGGGGATACACCTATGCTCCTCTGGGACTGATCCCTTCAACCGCCTGAATTCCTACCGAAGCTGCCTGAACCAGCAAACAACAACCCCCCGCTAGTCACCCCTCGGGTTTACACGTTCGAGAACGCCGTTCACATTTCTGACCGCAGCGCCGAGCTGAGAGAATACAGTATGGAGCCTGACACTTGCGACATCTCCATAGACCTTAGGTCTCTCGAAGCTGTGTCTGAATATAATACGAATCTGATGTGTCTGGTCTGCCATTGCCCGTTCATCACACCAACAAGGCTAAGATGCGACCACATCTTTTGCCGGTCTTGCCTGGATGCCTGTATCAAGTCCTCGAGTGACCTGAATCAGTTCACTCAACCAAGTGAATTCCTCTGTCCTACCTGCCGCACACCAACAAACGCGACCTACACGACCGTGCCGCGACTTATCGTTGCCATGTGTGATGATATACTGGTAAAGTGTCCATATCATGCCGAGGGCTGCGCCGAGACCATCCAGCGTGGACACGCGCAAGTTCATGTGAACAAATACTGCGAGTACCGTTGGATGCCTTGTCCGGATGCGCAGTGTGATAAAAAGATACGAAAGAAGGACCTGGGTTCGGAAAGCCGATGTTTGCATACTCTTGTTGACTGCGGGCAGTGTGGGGAGTCTGTTATGGAACTTGATTTTGAGGTTTGTGCCTACAGCTCCTATGCGGTCTTGGCATGACCGTGGCTAACGAGTGCTTTATCTTCAGGAACATACTACAAACTTGTGTCCACGAATAGAATCGATATGTCCTGATTGTGGGGAGGCATTCTTCAAAATCCATCATAAAGACCACGAAGAGAATTGTTCGAAGGCTACTGCACTATGTAGTGCTTCAAAATATGGGTGTGTGACACGATTGCCAAAAGCTGAGCTCGAGGAGCACGAACAATCCTGCCCACTAGCCAGGCTAGGACCGTACCTCGAAAATCAAGCGGCAAAGCTCGAAACCATGGACTCCACCATCCGACAGCTGAAACAACAGAATTCCCTTCTCGAAGACAGCATTGCTAGCCTGCGGTCTGCACTCGCACAGTCGACTTCTCGCCCTCCATCAAGAGTGCAATTGGCTGCAAATGTTGGGAATGAAACCACTAGCCTTCCATTACCCGACCCACACAGGAGCGCTTCTCCATCGAGAGACGCTCGCTCAACATCCCCGTCGGCTAACTCCTCAGCTCCCTACCATAACAATACAACCACGTACCTCCTTTCAATCCACGAGGCCCTGCGGGAGGAGGTGCTGCAGCTTACCACAACAGTCGCAGACCTTGAAGCACGTACAAATATATCGATGATGAATGATAATCTTCGTGTGAGGGAAGACATGGCCCATCTCACCGCCGGACTTAACACGGTCAGGATGCAGGTCCACCTGCTCATGAACTCTCGACTACACCACAACCAGAGGACGCCCATCAACGCTCGTGCTTCTTCAGCTGCCGGCAGCAGTACTAATGGAGGAAGTGTGGAAGGCCCCTCTGGACAAACCAGGATTTCCACGACCGCCGGACTCGAGCCACAGAGAGGCCGACGACCAAGCGATAGTGGCTGGGAAGGGACGAAACTATGAACACATTTACTTTTCCATCAACGAATTATGGGCACTGACGAGTTTTTCTTATTTCATTTTCCGGCTGGGCTGGCGCAAGAAGTTCCCCCTGTATATCGATTTCATGGAATTGGGGCTTTGTACTTGGTGTATTATAGCATTCGCGGTAATATTTAATAGCGAGCACGCATAGCAATCAGGGCTAGATTTGCCATGTTATACTGCACTACATGCATTACTATGACGATAACTATGGAAGAGCGGAAGCTATCGATACCATCGTCCCTAGCGATCATCGAACGATCGACGCCACGAGCCGTGCCGCCTCTTAATATCATCCACATGGTGGAACAAGCCTTTACTATGTAAGCTTATCTCCTTTTAGCCGGTTGTCATCGTATATCTCTATGCCTGCAGCAGAAACGAAAGATCTATTAATAATTACTGGTACTCTATCTCTTGCATCAGAAGTAAAGAGTAATGATCAAGCAGTCATTCCACACGTTATTAAGATATCGTCATGCAGCCCTGAATAAGCATCACAAACCAAACAAGTATATACAGTGGTAAAAGCCCTTTAATCCCTAAGATAAAGCTCCCTAGAGAGCCAACATGACACCCACAACGGCAGCACCGCCGACAAGAGCCAAGTTAGACATGCCCGTCGACTTGGGGGCGCCGTTCGGCTTCCCAGTCTCCTGCGGCTTTCCAGTCTCCTTCGCCAGCTTCTCTGCTCCAGATGTGATGATGACGGGGGCGGGAGCAACTTCTGATCCGGTAATAGTGGAAGTAAATGCTGAACTCGTGCTGGTCCCAGCGATAGCGACAAAGTACGATGCGCTACAGATGGCAGTCTGCGGTTTAACGGTACATCCGATTTGGATGGAGCTGGTTCAAAGCGTGTTAGCATGACAAACTCAGCAGAGTAAAGAAAAAGAGACATACGTGGTGATGCCGTTGTACGTATCCAGAGTGTCGTATCCAATAGTGTCGCTACCGTAGGTGAAGGTCTGCTGAAATTCAGTCTTGCAGGCCTCTTCTACAGGGGCGATGCAGGCGGCGATAGTAGTCAACGGAGGTTTCTGGCGTAGGGTCAGTTATCTTTCCTTCCTCTGTCAAGGAAAAAGAAGACTTACAATTTCAATCACTGATGCATATAAATGAACAGGGTCCGAGTCATCTGCCCCTATAGGGCCATATGGCATGGTGATGGTAGTATAGGAAGCAGAAGCGGGAGTGCTGGCGGTGGAGGAAGAAGAGGCAGCGGCAGCGGCAGCAAGGCCGAGATGCGCAAAGAGGGACAGGAAAAGGGCAGATTTGGCCATCATAGCTAGCGATAGACTGCAAGGGCAACGAGAGTGCCGGTTATACTAGTTACTGGTAAGTTATGAAGTTGAGAATAACGCAGCAGCAAAACCGGGAAGAAACGCTTCTTTTTATAGCAAAATCCTCCAGGACGAACTGCGGAACCACGGAGATAACTTACTACAGGACTCAGGGGTCTCCGGCGCTTCGCTAATGACTATTTATACAACTGTTGGAAGTGTCGGCATCCATCCACAGTGTGGTAAAAAAACGGTCTTATTTTACGATGAAACAATTTGAGCAAAGAATCCTCGGGCCCACAGAGAAAAGCAATAAAAAACGATTAGTTGCTCGCTTAGAGAGAAATCCCTGGTTGATACATGTTATTGTAGCATTATCGTAAGCATGCGAGTTACATGCGGTGCGACGTGAAAGAAAAGGCCCTCCTCACAACTGTTGGTTTGAATGTTTGTTTGTGGCATGACAAGTTTGGCTGCTTGGCCCCTTTTCAGCCTCAGGGCCTGCTCGTTTTTCCCGGCTATTTTCCGTAGCCTCCACATTCATACCCCCGTTTCCGTGCTTTCTCCGAGTATTAGAGTCTGTACATGGATCATGGCTAGTACTGTCGAGGGTGGCTGTACCCGCTGTTGCTGCCTGGGCCATAGTAGTAGTCATAAGTATGTGCTCCCTCGCTAGGTGGTTGGTAGACGGCACCCTCTCCCTGCTGGTGATAGTGCTCATATCCCGCAGGAGGGGCCATTTCGGGCTGGGGCGTTGTGCTTCTTGATGCCGGGTGCACTTCTGGTGCGATACCCCTGCTGTTTTCGTCGCCTAGGTCCCTTTTCCGGCCCCCTGATCCTGACAGGAATCCCCCTATTTTGCCTATATTTGACGCACCTGGGATGGGAAGATGAGACAACTTATCCCATGGGATAGATGACGCTGCCGTTGAGTGGCTGTGGCCTCCTGATTGCTGTGGGTGGGAGCCGCCTGATCCTGCGAAGCCTGCGAGAGCAGAGAGACCCGGTATGTTCGATAGTGGGTTATTACTACTATGAGAGCTACCACCACCACCACCCTGGTGAGGATACGACTGTCCGTATGGTTGCGAGTTGTAGCTCTGTTGAGGCGGTTGATGAGCTTGGTGGTGATACATTGGTTGCTGAGCACCGACTGTGTTGCCGTATCCATGTCCAGACCCATGACTGTGACTGTTTCCATGCAAATGAGGGTTTCCTCCTTTGTGGTTCTTCCCTTCTCTCACGCTCTGTGCGTTGAGGATTGTATCCAGGCTTGCGCCACCGTCAGGTCGAGAACGTGCCCAGTTCTGCACCGCCTCGAACATCGTCCGATGCGCTTCGTTGTTCATGTCTCGTAGCGCTGGGTGGTGGAATACTCTCATGCAGTCGGCGAGCACATCGTCAACCGGGATATCGACGTGCTGCCACGCATACATCACTCGGGGCACTACATACTTCAGGATCGCAGCCGCGACGTGTCCGGCCGGCTCGTTGAGAATATTGGAGAAGTGGTCCTTTGAAAGAAGAGAATGGGTCGGGTCGGTGCACATGGGATCTGTCCATGGCTCATACTGATGTTGTTCAGATGTGCTGATGACCCCAGACGATCCGGTCTGTAGCTGGGAAGTTGCCACTTTTATAAGCGGCCGGATGAAGGGAGACAGGAGGGAGAAAACGAAGACGCTCAGTGTATCTGTAATCTTGTCCACAAGAGACTCTAGACCAGGAATCTTCGACACGACGGCAGAGATTCTCCTCACAACGTTGTCTCTGAAGACGAGGATCGGGTAGATCTGAGAAACCGTCTTTTGAGGGTCAATACTGGGCAAGCCACCCGGTCCAGCAGCCCGAGAGGTTTGATCAAATCCACCGGTCGCACCGTACGTTTGTCCGTCATTTACACCTCTAGAGGCTCCTCCGTATCCGTACCCGGCGCTGTTGTTAGCCTGTGCCTGTGCCTGAGACTGAGCCTTCAACTTCTCAGCTTCAGCAATAAGATCACCCATTCCGGGGACCTTGGACAGTAGGCTCGTCAGAGTGTTTACTGAGCCAGTAGTGGCGCTTCCCACCTCTGCATTCTCGAGCGTGTTGTCCAGCTCGTTGATCTCAGACTGCGTAACATGGTCGGAAGCCTCACCCAGCACTGAGTGAAGGAAATCAACCATGCCAAAGGTGCCAGTTACAAGTGGGAAGATATGTTTACCACGAATGTTCATCATTGTGTTGGTTCCCGTGTGCGGGAAGACATTGAGCATGCCCATCTCCCGCAGTACAAGCTCACAGTAATTTGTATGGGCGCCAAAGTCCTCCAGCGTATGCAACCCTTGACCAAGACAGCGCAGAGCTTCGTACAAATCCTCATCTTTACCCTTACGCAAATGGCCTCCGTTGATGTACTGTCTAGCAAAATGGATGCTGCGTGCGAAACTGTATTTCACGTACCCGGCACTCGTAGCCCAGTTTCCTCGTTCGTTGGCAATGTAATTCTTCATACCAGTCTCACGGTCAATATCTAGTTCGACTTGCTGGACAGGACCGCGTAAGCGAGGATCGTACTGTCTTGCATCTGCATCATCGGCATAGCCTTTTGGATTACTGCGGATAGATATTAGCAAGATACTCCAAACCATCAACCAGGTCTCTCTAGATCAAGGCATACTCGATGTGCTCTTCCGGTCGATACACGCCAAGTCGTTCAGAAGTGACTTCAAATTCGGCGGTGGCATATCCGAATGTCATGAAGGACAAGACCCATACAAGAATACGCACAGTGTCTGATTGCACACTTTTCAGCGTCCCGACATCAACAGCTTGCGAGCTGTAAAAGAAGCACAGTCAGTAATGACAAAATTAACAAGTAGACGAAATCTCCTGATCGAGAGGAACTGCACATAACTAAAGACTCACTAATCTCGTAGCCAGTTTCCAAAGTACACCCTCTTCACCATGTTCGTGGTCCATTTGTGACCTTTGATGAATGCAAGGGTCTTGATAACATCTTCGATATCTCCATGACGCCAATTCTTGCCCTCGATGGCTGAGACAGATGCAATATCTAGTGACAGGGCATATCAATGTCAATAATGTGTGCCAACCCACGCAATGAGGGGTTTGGTTTGATAAGAGATTTTGATATCGGGAACATCAGGAAGGCGACGATATAATTCTCTGAGGTCTATCTCTCTCTCTCGTAAAATTGCAGGGATTATTGCTCACTTCCAGCTCCAAAGGCCTCTACTCTCGCTGGCAAGACGACGAGCAAGACGGCGATAAGCAAAATTGTGGTGGTGGGGTTGAATCCCATGTTGATGCCCTGACGGTGATGGAACCAACCAAGAAATAAACAGCTGTTATACCTGAAAATAGATAATGATAGTGACGCCGAATGTAATATCCCGTAAAAAAACAAAAGGGATCGTAGCTGTTTGGTTATGGTCAAAAAGGCGTAGATGTTGATGGTTCGTACTTTTGGTGGCTTGGAGGTTGCGGGCATAAAAAGTAACGATGCATAAACTGGCTGGCGCTAATATTGATTGGCTGAGGTTTCAGTAGTTAATTTATAACGGGCTATTATTGGGTAAATAAGTGGCTGGGTATGTTTTCTTTTTTTTATTGGTCAATTTATCATCAAAAGATTTATTCACATCTTTTAAACACCTTTTGAATATCAACATCTTTGACCACAAAACATCGTATTGAGGATGGAGGTTTGAGTTTGGTCTGATGTCTTCTGGTTGGCATAATATTCGCCCAGCATGAAAGGGCGTTCAGTTGTCTCCTGTTTTTCTCTCCACAACCAGCGTCTTCTGTTTTTTTCCATGCAGCAACAGTTTGGAGTGCTATCAAGGTCGGCATCAAGGTCTCAATTCTAGTAACAGCAGTGTACATCAAAAGATAACGCTGCATCAAGATCTCGGGATATTTCACGGATGAGCAAACGGATCACCGGCGGGTCTGCACATCCCCTGGAGAAAGTACGATATCTGCGCTCTCACGGTGTCGATCATCTTGTTCATATGCAAGATAATCAATCGGAATCAGTATCAAACTTCGTGTTTTTGGACTATTCTCTATAAATACTGTATAGAGCTGAGCTGGTAGCCTGGAAGGGCGCAACTGGTACACGAAAAATGCTCATTCTTGATACCACGGACACTTGAATACGCAGAATTGCATAGCTCCAAGACCCCATCTCCTTCAATCAAGGTAGATCTCTTACCTCACCATCGCCATTCTCTGTGATGTATGGCCTATTGGAGACATGGCGCTCTCGTCTTCTCCGCCCTTCGCATTACTTGCACACCTTAACCGTGCACATCACTATCAGATGGAGGCATAATGCCGTGAGAACACCAGATGCATGTAATATTATTTGCCTAAAGAGGAAAATGGTTTCAGCTTGGAGCAGAACGGCTGCTGAACCCAGCCTGGTAAATCCGATAGAGATAGAAACAGAGAATCGAGCAAAGGGGGTTTCTCAAGAAACATAAATACCCCCTTCCATCCCACAGCCAAACAATCCAATCCATCCAGCTCGGGTCTTCGGTACAAAAGCCTTTCCGCTTCAAAAACAACTCAAACATCAAACCAAGATGCAGTTCACCAAGCTTGCCACTATCCTCCTCGTCTCCCTTATGGGAAGCGCTGCCATCGCCGCCCCAGCCACCAACAACGCTGCCGTCGATGCTGCCGCTGATGCTACCCCCGCTGTTGAGAAGCGTGGATTCGGCTGCCCCTTCAACGAGAATGAGTGCCATGCCCACGTAAGTTATACTGCCTGCCTTTGACCTCGCCGAGCTTGGACTGACAGATATTTCCATAGTGCCTTTCCATTGGGCGCAAGTTCGGCTTCTGCGCTGGCCCCTTGAGAGCGTGAGTTACATATATGAAGATGACCCCGTTCATGGCTAGTGGGCACGAGCTAACAATATTTAGCACCTGCACCTGTGGCAAGCAGTAAATAATGACAACCCATACCTCCATCCTTATATTCTCAGTGCTTGAAATAGCTATGGATATGGTCTCGTATCGCAAACAGGATCCAGAGGCTCGGCTGTTACCGGAAATTTGAGGGAAACATGGAAGAACAAGAGTTATTTGCTCAACCATATTGTCTGCACTCTTTTTATTACGTTCTCTGTCATTCTTTTTATCCAGATAGATTGGTGTAGTTAGGTAGCTTGATCAACTACTTTCTTACCATTTAATTCTGTCGGACTATTATTTTCTCAGCTATATCTTGAAGTAGGATTCTAGCACCTCTAAAGGCTGAAATTACGTAGTATAAACCCTTACATGATGACCTTTAGCTTGTCCTTTTAAGGAATAACTTATGAGTGTAGAGTTCGATGGAGAGAGTGTAGTGGTGCTCCTGAATGAAATACCATGCATGGCATTCAGAGGCTTTATCGACTGAACCATCAGATTTATATCACAAGAATGAGCTATTTCACGTGAAGATGCTGCATGCCACAGGTCGACTCGGGTCTTCAAATGCCAGACCGGTACCTGATTTGTTGTGACGTCGAACTTTCGCCTTTTAACATTTTTGGCGTAAAAAGATACATTCATTCATCTCATATCAGATGTGTAAGACAGGAACAATTATTTTCGAAGACTTGCCAATTTTTTCCGTCGACCATCCAACAGATAGACAACGCTGTTGAGTCTCGGAACGGTTGGCTCGCGTAGCCAAATGGCCAACCAATTTTGATTATCCAACGTAGGCCTGTATGCATGGGAATCCGGGCTAGCTGGAGGTCCTGCGGGATATACAAATAGTCAAGATGCTATCACATTACCATCCAGTAGTATCCACGGTTGAGCATCGGTGGTAGTTAAAATAATTACGCGTCGAAAGAGACAAATTCACTAGTCAACCAGAGAAGTTGGTTAGCCCGTTTTGAAACAAAGCCTGTTCAACCGAAGTCCCTGATATAGCGAAAAGTGATTTAATTATTATTACCAACAACTCCTGTTCGTCTCAAGTTTGTCTGTAAAGCTTTTTCCTTTCTTTTTTTACACTGCAAAGTATCGCTCAAATATTTACCGTGTCTGCTACCATTCCAGCTTCGGTGTCGCGGCCTCTACCAAAAAAAAAAAAAAAAAGGGACATGAACGCCGACCCTGCCTCAGCTTCTTCAGCGCCCTCGGGTGTCCGCAAGCGTGGGAAGAGGGGTAAGTACTCGAGATGGAAGAACGAAGAAGAGAGACTCTTCAGGCTGCGGACTCAATACCCTACTATGACGTGGAAGGAGTTTCATCGGGTTAATAACTCCCCTGTCCCTAAGTGCGCCCGTCAGCATTGAAACTGATGAAATTTGATATCCATATAGAGATTCTACAGCCATTACACTCCGAGCCCTGGAGTCATATCGTCGAAATATAATGTGAGTTTTTGCATTCTCTTCGTTTGTTGGTGGCAATGCCTGACTCGATTGAACGCAGCATTTATTGAAAGCTGGCTTTACGCTCCCAGAGGTTAGTAGACGCAACTTCATCCGTCAAATCCCTGGTTATGATGTTAAATTAACATTCAAAAGCCGGTATTCCCACCAAGAGACTATACTCCCACGCCAAGTGGTAATTCCATATATAGCGATGATGATGCTGCCACGCACATATCCTTTGAAGCGAACAGCCCTAGCGGCCAGAGATTAGATTATTTTGAGAGGCATTCAGCTAGTGAATCAAAACTAAGGAATCAAGCGGCTCTTCCTATGAAGAGTTATCATAGACCTGGGCCTGTGGACACCGACAGCGACTTTTCAGATACGGGCCCGAGGAATGGCAGGAATCGACCGCTACGAAAACCTCGGAGTGGCGGTTTTGTTACCATCAATGGGGGGTCAGAGACGTCCAACGCGGAGAAATTGAAGATCGAGAAGCAACTAAAAGACGTCGAAGTTGTTGCTAGAGAGATCAAGGCTGCCTGGGAAGACGTCCGTCTAGCGATTCGCGATGTCATGTTCGTCGAGCAGTGGGACAGAGGTGGAATGGGACCCAAAACATCTGCGCTCGAGAGTACAATTGACAGGCTCATCGAGAAATCAGCGACCAGCGAGCCTGCCACTTCGACGAACACCTAAATATCTATATATATTGATACCATTGTAACTAGTTTTTCCTGTTCGTTTACTCGCTCTTGTAGTTAACAGTCAACCAAATCCTTTGGTCAAATAGCTACCAAATACCAATCAAATTCTGTACCGTCAACGAAACCCCCCAAAACCTGGCCAAACATGATAAATCATCTTGACTCGTCTGTTACCGCATCAGCTCGTGCATAAACTGATGCAAACACTCGACTCATCAACCAAATATTCCCTTCTTACATCCGTCAATTGAAATCTGTTCATTTTTTACCCCTTGAGAAGACGAGATCACATGACCTCGTCCGAAAAAAGAAAAAGAAAGAAAAAAGAAAAAAATATCAAAACAAATCACAAAAAGTGGAAGAAACAAAAAAGTTGCATGAACGAGGACAAGAAGAACATCTCGCGTATCTCGCGTCTCCGGTATATCACATCGTCGAGATAGCTCGAGTCCTTTCGATAGAGCTGTGTGCTGAAAGCTACGGAGAGATGTGCGATTCCCCGGCGCCACAGCCTGCCACGGCGAGCGGCAGCGGTAAGAAGCAGCGCGGAGAGCGATGGGGGGAGCAAGAGGACGCGAGATTTGTGAATCTCAGGATTGAGAATCCTGATATGTCGTGGGAAGAGTTTCAAAGGGTTCATACCTCCTACCCAGTTCTCGCAAGGTTAGCCGTCCGGATGTATCAGTCCAACTAATACTAACTAATTTGGATCTCTCTGCCTGTAGAAATTCTTCCCTCATCGTACAACAGCGGCTTTACTGTGGAGGCATTCGACCGTTAGTTCCCGGGTTTCCCGCGTGTTCTACTTTACCAGAGCTTCTACTTTTGATTCGGAGTCGGGATGCTCTGCTGTATAAGGTCCAATTGGTCTAACTTTGCCAAACAAAAATAGGTCCTGAGGGCGAGGATTGAACAGAAAAAGGCATCGGTTAGAGATGCAGCCTCTGGTGCGGTTAGTGCATTGTATACTTTCTGGTGAAGATTGGTTCCAAAGACTGATACCGTACATGAGTTAAAAAGGCAGCATCATCTTTCCAAGAACGCGAGACCATTTCTCCCTTCACTGAAAGTGACGATGACTCGGCGAGCCATATTTCATTTGAACCAGGCCGTTCACTTCGCCATCAGCGGGCTTATACGGAGAAGCCAGGGGACGAGCCAAGCACGAAGAGACGCCGGACCCTCCCGGCAAGGGCACGTCGTAGGCCCGTTCGTTTGGGTTATGAGGATGATACTCTGCCGCCGGAAGATGACAGGCTGGTCAAACTGCTGGACATGCTCAGCGCGGACGACTTTGCTAAAATCTATCAGAGGGCAAAAGCCTGTGTCGCAGAGACTAAGCGAGCTGAAACCGCGCTTCGCCAGAATACCGAGCTGGAACGTCGACTAAAGGAGACAGAGGCCGAGCTGCGAGAGCTTACGGACCGGATGAAAAATGATAATAAGAAGAATGACCAAGTGATGGAAGACCGGAAGGATATCAAGTACGAAGGCATTGACGTGGAGCTTACGGCAATGGACGACGACTCCAAAGCAAAGGTCAAAACTGCTTGGGACATCATTCATTCGAAGGTGCGCGACACCTTTACTCTTCGACAATGGGACGAGGCAGGCATGGGCCCTGCAGTGAATACAATCCAGCAAGTTATCGATAAACTCCTGGAGACGTCAGCTACAACAGCCCCAAACGGACATCCTGGGGAAGATGCCACCACCAATCAAAAGTCCCCTCTAATTGGAAATTGAAATTGAGCTCTGTCGACTGGGAGTTTTTTTTTTTTTTATCGCATTCTGTTTCTTGGTTTCCGGAGTATTTGGTTAGATTCTCGTTCAGCAAGTTGTATATATAATTTCAGCGCACATCAACTACCCCCAATTTTGAATTGATTGGAATCGCGGAACTTCGGCGTTTTTCTCCTCGATGGCCCCTTTCGATATAAACTTGGCTTGCCAGGAAGTGTAAGCGAGTGAGGCTCAGGCGGTTGTCTCAAGTCGCATCGTCGCGCCCTATCATCGCCCTTGAACAACTTCAAAACTGGGCCCTTCCCAGGCAGCAATGCCGCCAACACCCTCGTCCTCCATCCTTCACCAAGGCAGCTCTTTGCTTGCGTCGATGCATAAAGCGAATCGACTCTGTCTTCGGTCATATCACGTGTGTTGCTGCCTTGATCTAAATCCACTGATCCCCGTATCATCGCCGGCCGCGGGAAGATATATAAGAGGCCTGCTGCTCGACGGGATGAGAGAGAAGAATCATCTCATATGGCCTTTTATTCCCGTTCAATTTATCCATTGAGAAATAAATTTGCCTTGACCGTTTCGTTGAACCATCTTTGTGGCATCCAACAATGTCTTCTATACCATCCCTTCCCCAGCTGCCAGCGAAACACTCCAGCTTTTTAAGCTACATCGACGCGAACGGTAATAAGCCCATCGATGAGCTACTCAAGCCCTACAATGAGTACGACTCGGTGCTGCGTCAGGTTTTCGCCCAGGAGCCTTCTAATCCCATCCTGGCAGACAACTACATCAATGTTGTGCCATTGTATGGTGCCAATGGTGCAGCCGACCTTCGTGTTCAAGCTAGAGACTTGAGCTCCGAGCCAAAGGAAGTCTGTGAAAGGTATCTTTTACCTCTCAAGGACGAGGATCGGAAGCCTAATGGCTCCCCTGCCATTGTGACTACATTGAAGGAGTTCCAAACCAATTTTAACCTCTTCTCCGAGAGCTCCTTGAGCGATCTTGACTGGAACAATGTCGTCGCTGCGGGAAGCTCAGTTGTGTCGGCTCTCCTTCCTGTGCCAGAAGAGTATAGCGAATCGAAACGACAGCTACGCCATTTCTACCACGAAAAGTTTGCTCCTGCATCTGATGTTGATTTGTTCATCTACGGGCTTGACGAGGAACAGGCAATCGAGAAGATTAAACAAATTGAGCGCAAAATCAAGGACTCTATCTTATATGAGACTACATCGGTTCGAACAAAGAATACCATCACCATTGTCTCCCAGTACCCTACCCGCCATGTCCAGGTAGTTCTACGGATATACAAGTCGATTTCGGAAATCATCACTGGCTTTGATGTTGATTGCTCTTGTGTGGCATACGATGGCAAAAATGTCTATGCTGCTCCTCGCGCGGTTGCTGCTCTGGTCACTCAGACAAACCAAATCGACCTTACAAGACGTTCACCATCTTACGAGAACCGTTTATCAAAGTACTCACATCGTGGGTTTGAAGTCTACTGGCCTCAGCTAGATAGATCCCGCATTGACCCTGTAAGCATCCTCTGAGCCCTACACCAACGACAAATGAACTAACTTTGATCGTCAGACAATATTTGAACGGAGCTTTATGAGGACAACTGGCTTGGCTCGGCTCCTTGTTTTAGAACGGTTGCCGACATCAAGAGACCGAGAGCAGTACATGGAACAGCGGCGCAGGGAGCGTGGTCGCCCTCCTCAGACCAATGGCTTCTATCGAAATATTCGAAAATTAAGGGGTAATATCAAGAATAATTGGGAAGATGAAGTAGCGGAATGGGTGGATGCAGAAGAAATCTCCGACTACCATACAATTGTAAGGTTGATGATTCAAGCTAATGCCAAATATGCATACTCACTCTGCTATAGACAATCCCCTACGGAGAAAAATTCCATGCACGGAAAATTGAGAAACTACTCTATACCCATGACCTACTGCTAAACGCCGAGTGGAACAACCAGAAACGAGAGGTTACACTTCACCGTCACCCTGTGTTCTTTGGGAACGTTGAGGATATCATCCAAGACTGCTGTGGCTCATGCCCAAAGCCAACCACCCCTGAAGAAGAGGAGGTATGGGGAAAGGAAAGCAAAATCTACATTTCGGGAGACGTCTCTTTTATCAAAGATGACCCAGGCAGGCAAGCAATAGGAAGTTTCAACCCAATCACCGAAACAGACTGGACAGGTACATACACACCTATACGAAACCTTACTCTAACTAGCTAACAATTGATCACAGATATGGCTTATATCGGAAACACTACTCGCCTCTTCCAAGCAATTGCCGATGATGACATTGAAGCGGTGCGTGAATGGCTTGCACTGGAGGGCGCGGACCCAAATCGCCGTGATCATACCGGAAGAACTCCTTTGCATCTGGCGACAATGATTTCTACTCCAGAGATTGTACAGTGTCTTGTCGACCATGGTGCAAGGCTGATTGCACGTCTTGCGGATGGACGCATGGCTTTGCACCTTGCAGCGGAGCGCGGAAACGTTGAGATTATCCGTATCCTACTCCATAAGAGCGAAGAGAATGAAGAAGCGGAAGAAGCGAAAAAGGACCAGCAGCGTACGGCTACGAAAGATACCCAGAGCGAGAATGAAGACGTCGAGATGGAAGATTCCGACAACGTGGTGGTTGTGAACGAAGATCCCGAGAACTCTGACGATGATAAAATGTCCTTGGTGACTGGCTCTTTTGTCGACGTTAAGAAGGAAGATGCGAAAATAGGAGAAGAAGATAACGTCCCTGATGACGAGAAAGCATCTGAACCTGACATTATAGATATCAACACCATAGCTTGGGACAGCGGGTCCACACCTTTGCATCTTGCTATCATCCATGGCCATGCGGACGCTGTGAAGGAGCTTGTTTCTTCATTTGGAGCGGACGTACTCCTTCCCATAAAGCTCTCCGAACAAAATTATCGCGGTCCACGATCAATTCTTCCTCTAACTTTGCCCCTTAACCTGTCCTCTGATCAGGCGGCTGTCATGACAGAGACACTTCTTAAGCTGGGTGCTACTGCGGCACAAGCTGATTTCAGTGGAAGAACCCCCTTACACTACTTTGCGGCCTCTTCCTACCCAAGGCTTTTTGATACCCTCTCAAAACATGACCCTTCCGCTATCAGGAGGGCAATTGACCACTTAGCTGTCGAAGATGCTTACCATAGTCCCTACGCTGAATCGGCATTAACGGTTGCTCTGAATTCAAAGGCTCCGGGTATCGTTGGGAAACTACTCGACTTCGGAGCCTCTCCAGATATCAACTTCAGCAAATATATGAAAGCCGCTCTGCTTCAGAACGACGCTCTAAAAAACCAAGATGCAAAACAAAACCAAAACAACTTCCAACAAAATGTTACGCAACCAATAGTTACTGCTATAATGACAGATCAACCGTTAGTCGCCATACAGTTGTTAGAACATGGAGCCGACCCAAACACCCTCTCTACGCTTGGATATAGGATTCTGGGAAGTAACTATGCAAGCGACCCGGGAGAGTCGCTATTAGACCTCGTGGTTATGAAGATTTGTCATTTGCGAGAGTATAATGAAAGGTTTGACCAAAAGGCAGTCACTCCCTTAGAAAGTGATGAAACTTATCTGGCAGCGTATGCAGAGGGCAGCTACCAAATGTGTTTTGTTAAAGAACGTCTTGCCAGAGAGAAGGTCCATATAAAGAGGCAACAGAAGCAGTACGAAAAGTCAATGAAAGAAGCTGAGAATCGCAAAGGTCTGAAAGAGAAGGATTGTGCGGTTAAGGCACTCCTGCACGATTTCGAAACTCTCGAATCCGAGCTCGTTACGAAAGGGGCCAAGAAGTTCAATGAACTACACCCAAGCGCCCGATACCCCGAAAGACCTCCCGTTAGGGGTTATGAAGGTTGGAAGCCAGAACCATTTAAGATTGAATTCAATTTCAGTACACCTGATCTTTCGGACGGTAGGAAGGAGGGCTATATAAAACTGTAAGTTTTAACATGCTCATAGAGTCTGTTTCTACCCCCTGGATATTTGTTGCTGCTAATAACTTGATAGATTCGAAGCAGCATGGTCAGGCGACTTAGAAACCATCAAGTCTTTAACACTGGAGATGTGGGGTCCTAACAAGGAAATGTCACCTCTCGTAATCGCTGTGGACGAGCGAATGGGGGGTTCTTCTCCCTTTTCATTAGCACTTCTCCGCGGCCACTTCGATGTTGCAAAGGCCATTCTTCAAATAGTTCGAGCACAGTACAAACCAAAGGCTACTGCTCAACAGACCTACCGCATGGAGTCTGACGATGAGAGTGATAGATCCGACAACGAAGAATCAGACGAAGGGCTTCGCATTACGGGTGAGAGTGTATGCGATGAACTAACCATTGACAACATTGGTGAAGTGGCGACGCAGGCAGAGAGTGATATTTCACCTCTTCAAGTCTTACGATTGGGCTGCAGAGCCGGCCTTATTATGGGTCCCAACGCCAACAAACCGTCTTTCGGCCGCCCTAATCTTTTCAGTTTTGCCATAGAGCAGGACAACCTTGCATTGCTAAGGTTCCTTCTGGATCTTGGACAGTCTGAAATTGTTAGTGGCGCTGAAGATGGTCCTTACGAGTTACTGTCTGCCGCCGACTTCAGCGACGCAATACGTGATGGGCAGCCCCGATGCCTTGCTGAAGTCATTAGTCGGACGGGAGCCCAACTCCCACTGAACAAGTTTGTGGAAGAAAGTGGGATTACTCTTAAAAGAAAACCAAAATATTACCAAGGCCTATCGATCGACGGGAAGAAGCGTGAAGACTGGGCTGCAGCTGCAGGGCAAAGTGTTCCTGTACTCAAGAACAACGAATCGGAGATACCTCTTCTTCGGGCTGCACTCTCTGGGAAAGTAGCCAATGTAGAGTGGTTCCTCAGTACAGCCCCAAAGAGACATTACATGGAATACGCAAATTCCAACAAGCAGGATAAGCGGCTGAGAAAGTTAGCACAGATGCCCGATGGCATCGATGGATTTATTGAACGATGGCTAACTTCAAGAAGTGAGTTCTTATATTCTGTTTGTTGTAACTGCTGAATGTTGATTGATATTGGTTACAATTGGGACTAACTCTGAGGCGTTTAGATGAGCTTCTCCTTCACTGTGCTATTATGGCTAGTGAAACTGACGAGGCCGTGAAGCTTGTTCACTACATTGTAGAGAATGTCCCCAACTGCCTTGAAAGAAAATCATCCAATGGATACACGCCATTGCTCCTAGCTTTTTCCAAGCGGAGAGCCCTCTTTGCTAAAGTGCTCATTGAAGCTGGAGCCAACCTCGAAGCTCGCGATGTACTGGGTAATAACATTCTCCATTTACTATTCCGACCCAATAACGAATTCTCTACTTCCGAGACGGGTTTCGAGGAGCTACTTAGCTTGATAGATCCTAGCCTGGTTGCTTCACTTCTTAGCTGTCGCTCCTCAGATGACCCCGGAGCACTTACACCTTTCGCTTCTTGGATTCATATCTTAACCAGGCACAACAGGGTGGACGACAAGACCGTTGGGCTCACCAAGAAATTACTTGACTTTGCCGAACCAACAGGGCAAAGTCATCTCGAACTGCTTGATGGTTCTGGAAACGCACCTATTCATAGAGCTGTTAGGGCTCCAGTACCACGTCTAGTCAGACTGATGCTGGAGCGCCGCCCAAGCCTTCTCACTATAGAGAATTCAACAGGAAGCACTCCTATGGAACTCGCAAGGGATGCATGGGCCACCAAAGTCACAACAAACCCTCCAAGGTTGCCCTCGCGCGTGTTCCATAGGTGGCAAAGACCTAATGCTCCAGCCATTATTGGCCGAGACCCCGAATCATTCGTTCCTGGGGAGAATGACACAAACGATGAAACGCGCTCAAATGTTGAATTAGTTTACGACATATGCCTTGAGATATCGGCTAAGCAAAATCAAAGAAAGAGGAAGCTGGTTAGCCTCCTTGAGGCCAACGAGGTTGCAAAACGAGTGGAGAGACGGTTAAGGCCAATGTATACGTATAGGAGAAATTCCGAAGAGGATGAAGTTTCTCGGTGGCACAACAAGTATTGATGGATCGCTTGAGTCCAAGTGTTAGGGGTGTAAATCATTTTAAGCCAATAATTATATAGTAATTCTTACCCAATATAAGTTTTGATTACTTACCTTCGGCTCTACAGTCTACCTACGAGTAACATAAATACTCCAAAACACAGGTAGGGTAATATTGTATTTCATTGCTGTCTTAAAATCTTGTTGGGCATTTCGTTAAGTCATGTATTGCATCATGGAAATTAAAAGGAGTAGGAAGTGTGTGTATCTCAAGAGGACAAGCTCTGTAGTCTGCCTTGTTCAGCTGGAGTGAGCGCAGAGAAAATCTCCTGGAATCTAGGTGTAGAAGCAGTTTCGGTGAAGAACTGTGTCAAAAACGCCTGTGTCTCGTCATCTCTCTGTCGTGTAGCGAGTGCTCCAGCATCTCCTTCAGCGCCGTAGCTCATCAACTCCTGCTTCGTGATGCCGAGGCCCAAATCCAGGAAGTCATTTTTAGTTGGGAGGTCTTCCCAGTCATCGTTCTCATCGTCGCTTTCGAGATCTTCCAGTTGGTTTCCTGAGAGGCCGGCAGCGCCTCGGATATCTCTAGCCCCCGATGCGGAAGACAGCTCTTCAATAAGGACTTTGATAATTTTCAACGGCGCCGGGATAATGGTATATCGATCTGGGTTCTTGCGGGATTGAGACCGGGTCTTGATTCTGCCTGTATCTTGAATGATGAGCTCGCCTTTGACTTGTATTTCCGCGATACGGGGGTCGTCAAGTTGGTAGAGTTTAGATAGAGCAATAACATTCTGTCTAATCTCGTCGTATCCGGCGAAAGTGACGGAGTTCTCGAGCCATTTAGCCAAGACGACATGGAGACCAGATTGACCGTTGATGTCGAGCTGGGCGAGGAAGTCAATGACGTCTCGGGTATTGACGAGGGATAAGCGAGCGAAGACAAGGATAAGGCTTTGAATCAGCTGGGCCTTTTCCGCAGTGGCCAGTCGCTGGGCAACAGCGCGTAGAAGCTGAGGTAGGTATGGGCCTAGCTTCTCTGCACCGGCCTTCTCGACCAACTCTGCGGCAAGCTCGCCGACCTCGGATGCAGCATTATCGTCCACTGCAGAGCCAAGGAGACGGTCGATAATAAACAAAACTGTTTCGATTGCACCCTTTCCGGTCTGTGGGTCTTGCCAGGCAAAGAACTGATTTGGATCACGCTCCAGCATATGCTTGACGGCTAGGGTTGCGGAGGGAAGAAGTTCACTATCACCAGATCCGAGCAGCAGGCGATTCAACTTTGGCATTACAGTTGCAATCAGTCCCTGTGGGAGCGGCTGCAGACCATTTTCAGCAAGAGCTCGTAAAAGGTCGGTGGCCAAGTTTGTCAACGAATTCTCCTGTGTAATATTTCCAACATCAAGAGCGCCAGTCAAAGGAGGAAGTACTTTCTCGCACAAGCTAACATACGCATCCGATCCCTGAGCAGCGATGTGCTGGACGATTTGTTCAAACGTTTCGGTCACAATCATGGCTAGCTGGAAGTTCCCTGCACCAGCACTGGCGATGTTGAAAAGGACATCCAATGCAGTCGAAGTGAGAACGATGTTAGCGTCAACCAGGATGGTGTCGCGTAACGTATCTGCTAAGGTGAATTTAAGATCATCTCCTTCGGAGAAATCACGAAGGTCGTGGCTAGAAATAAAGTCTGCAAGTATCGACAGCACGGGTACCTGGAAAGGTGCTGCCGTCGCTTGAGGGAGGGCAGGCAAGAAGTCTTGCAGGACTCGAATGCAGGAGACTTTAACGACCTCCGATGGGTCATCTCGAATAGCCTGGACAGCGGCTTCAAGATACGGCACTGCGGATTGATAGAATCCTTCTCCGGCAGTCTGTGCAAGAATACCTGCAACAAGGTAGCCTCTGGAACGAAGGAAAACCTCATCCTGCTGGATGCAAAACTTGACGAACTCGTTGAAACTGCTGGCTAGGTCGGCAGAAATGGTTTGATCCACATCACTGAGGTCTCGAAGTAGCTGGTTGAGAATAAACAGAGCAGCTTCACGGTATTTCCATCTAAAAAGGTGTAAGTTATAATAATGAAAGTCTTGTGGGGGTGACATACCCAGTACTGGGATCCGCGAAGAGGGAGTTGGTGTACGAAAGTAGGCCGTCAACAGCAGCACGCTTCAGCCATTCTCCGAGTCTGATGACAAGGTCACCACCGCAGGTTCTAGGAGTGTAGTTGGCTGTAACGGAGGTTTCCTCGGAAAGGTACAGGTTGACATCGATATCCCAGAGGCCTTCTTCTTCGGTGGTGATCTGGGCGTAAGACACGACTAGCTTCATCATCTCTGGCAACCAGCTTGAAGAGGAGGCGGTAGCTCCAGCAAGCTTTAACTGGTTCTCCAGTTCAATTCTGACAGGCGGTGCGCGAAGCAAGGCTTGTAAGAGGTCTAGTTCCTCCAGAACCAAAAAGTCAAGTGTGTATGGAAGGTTATCTGCATCCTCGAGACGGCCCTGTCTCTCGTCGTGAATATAGAGCTGCTGATATGCGTCTTGGATGGTGGTCAACTCGGTCCAGATGGTGTGGAAGAGTGTGGTGCTCTTGGTTGTAAGTAAGGCGGGCAGGACAGTTCGGACTTTCATAATAGTCTATAATTCCAAGTGTTAGTAACGGTCCAGCATATAGATAAGTCGGAATTCTTTTTGCAAACATGCCTTGACAACTTGTGATTTCAGGGCAATGACACCGCGCCACTGCTGCGGGATAGGGGCGTCTGTGGCCTCCTCCTCCTCTGAGGGCATGGCTGGGAGCGGCTCCTTGATGGTAGCAATGAAGAACGGCAACCATCCATCGAGAGCCTCGTCCATAAACTGTCTGACCTCGATCTTGTGCTGCTCGATGACCATCTCCAGAGTATCCAAGCAGGCTCTGAAGGTCGAAACGGCAAGTGCCCGCAATATCGGTTTGCGCGAGGTATTAGTCGCAACGTTGAACACCGTCGACACCAGCTCTCTAGCCACCTTGAAGAACTGTTCTTCACTGAATCCTGTCTCCACCAGGTCGGACAGGACCTTCAGGGCGCCGTGGAGCTGGACATCTGTGCTGTTGGGGATAATCTGCAGCAGCGTCGGCAGTATCTCGGGCCAGTCTTCCGGGAAATCAGCACTGGCGATGCGGCTGACGACCAGACTGGCTGAGGTCTTGACCTTGCGGTCATCCTGCTCTGGCGAGGTAGCTAGCTCGAGCAGAACGCGTCTGAGATGTGCCTTGTTCGCGTCGTTGACCAGGACCTGGCCCTTGAAATCATCGAGCTGCGAGGACCATGCTGAATTGATGAAGGTACGCAGAACAACGAGAGCAGACTGTCGCAGAGGAACGGGAACCGAGCTATGTGATGCTATCGAGGCGAGGGACAGGGGGAAGTTCTCGTTCGAATAGAGGCTCTGTAGGCGTAGCTCAGCGTTCTTTCGAGTGTCTGCGGCGGCGTTTTGGGTATCAGAGAGAAGCTGGAGGAGCTCTTGATCCATGATGACGCCCTGTAAGCCGTTCACAAGCAAGCTGAGAAAGAGACGGTCGAGTTGACCTGCTGGTTGTCTGCGAACCGCGATGTTGTTTTTTTGTTGTAATTCGCGATGTGAAGAAATATTTTATATGGCGAGTTTCCCTTTTAGGCGGGGTCAACTAGTCAAGTGTCAAAGAGCTCGACATAAAAGAAAAAAAATATTAATAAATATATAAAAATAAAATAAAAGATGTTAATGTAGATAGACAATAGATATAAGATAGAGTGAACATTTGGATGTATTATTTGGTCAGTTATGGGCTTCTATAGGCAGCATTTAATGTGTTCAATTCAATGCTGTGGTCTATCAAATTCATCTTTATAGAATGAATGGATCGTAGTTAGCAGTGTACGTCATTCTCTATATTATTTACAGTATTCATGGCATCCATAGCATTCATATAGGCTGTAGCTGTTGTTCCAATACATGTATAGATGTTGATATCAGTTCTATAGTTGTTGACTTGACAGACCCAAGTATTCACACAGCAAGGTCAAGATCTCCCAGCCATCTTCAGCAAGCAGTAATATAGCATCCTCTCTCTTATTTCACCTTTTCTCTTCACATCATCTTCTTTGCTTCAGATGTTTTCTTCGTCTTTTTCTTTTGCTGTTTTATATCTAGTGGTCACGTGATTGCTCTATTCAAAACATCCCAAAAACACGAAGACGAAGACGAAGAAGAAGACGAAGAACAAAGAGAGGAAGAAGTGAGACGGAGAAACGCTGCCATGGCAGAGACAGGTAGCCGCCCAGAGACTTACGCCGCCCTGGCCGCTTCTCTCTCCTCGTTTCTCGCCGTCAGCATACACCAGATACTCTTCCTGCGCTCTATATACCCCCAGCCCACCTTCTTGTCAGTCAGACAGTTCAACCAGCCAGTTCGCCAGTCAAGGCATCCCAAGGTCTGTAGCTGGGTTAACGATGCCTGTGCCGCTGTCGAGACACAGCTGCTCAAATCGACCGTTGCCTCGGTAGCAGTTGTCATCCTGTCGGTCTCATCAAACAGGCCCATGGAGAAGTACACCTTTGACCTGTCTCAGATCCCCAAAGTGGCGCGCGGAGACATACATACTCCCTTCGAGAGCTCCAGGAAGAAACAGCAGCAGGGAGATGCAGGTGTCATACCGCAGGTTGATCTGGAGGCGCAGTTCCGTGCCGTCCTTCATCGACTGTCCTCTGCCTGCGCGAGGCTAGCTCCCTTACCGCCAGACGAGGAGTATCTGCCTACCCTACACATCGTCCTACGGCCGGACGCTGAGGCGCCAGCTGGCATGGACAAGGACGACCAGCAATGGATAGCTGCTGAGCCGGAGTCTGGGCATACCGGTGATCGATCGAAAGCATCCCGTGCAAAGACGGTACCTGTCCGCACCGTTGATGCGGGAGAGATGAAGCTCGAGGTCTGGATTGAAGAAGCTAGTACCAAGTTCGACCTTACCAGCAGTGCCCATTAGCTGTCTTCAATAAATTAAAATATATGGATAATTTTTAATTAACCGTGGCAATATATCTATTAACCCGTTATACAACCCTGTCCGTGAACCGTTACCCCAAAAAATGCTCAAATGTATAGAAGAATGCCACGCCAACTGAAGAAAAGATATAGAAAAGATACATACTTGGGCAAAAATAACCGAACCCAAGTTGCAATGAGAAAGGCAAAGGGGAACTAGAAGATGGTAGGGGAGGGCTTTCACCAGGCCAAGAGGTGTATTAGATCAAAAATATACCCAACCAAACAGCACAAGAACGCCGTTACCTTAACATCGCCTCGTGTCTAAATGCAGAAAATAATAAAAACATGCTAGTGAAGAAAATATCGCCAAAACCTGCTATGTCAACGCCGAGCTTGGGGATGTGGATTGTGATGGCCACCGTGTCGAGCATGTTGATGAGTAGCATAATAAATGGCTTGAGCATTCTGGTCTGCATGAGGTTGCGCCGCTCCATTTCTGTTTCCAGCATTGTCAGGGACGCGGTGGTTGGGGTTACGTGCAGGCAGAGGAGGATCAGGAAAATATATCTGTCGTCCGTTGTCATCATAATATCGCGCCTCCTCCGGATTATTATTAATAACGGGGTGTCCTTGATATTGAATGACTGGTATCCCTGGTGGTGGCGGTTGGGGTACATAGCCATATCTCTCATACCAGAACGGCTGTGGAAGAGCACCATGGGCGGTATCCCACGCTGTCGGTAAAACACCTACCCTTCCTACGACTTGGAACTGTACCGGTCGCTGCGCTTCTACTACCCCTCCTTCTGCCACCGCTGCTATCTCCGGGCGTTGAGCGTTCTGTGGCTCGGGCACTGCCACCGCTGCTGCCGCCAGGTGCCGGAAATTGGGTGGTTCAAGTGCTGCTGGGTATCGGAAGTTCAGTGGTTCAAGCGCCACCCTTGCTGGTGCTGCTGGGGGTCGGACGTTCGGTTCAGGCGCTGCCTGCGCGCCAAGTTGTTGTTGGTTTTGAAGCCGCCCATCATCACGTCTATTGTTCTGAGCTTGCTGCGGCGCCTGCTGGTGCACGGCATCATGGAGAACTGGTACCTGCGGTTGCCGTGGTGGTAAGCCAAATCTGTTCCAGTCGGCCTCATCAATAAGATGATGACGAAATGGCAAGGGAGCACTACGAGTTTCAGTAGATGAAGGGGGTTTGACGCCAATATCCTCTTCTCTAAGTTCTGGGTTCTCCTTTAGAACTTTGTCAACCGCCGTTCGGTGCGCCTTGGTTAGTTCGTCATGATGCCTACTTATCGGCAAATAAGTATCATGGAGTAAGCATTTGCTTGAGCCCGCCATTTCAGCAAAGTGCTTATATCCGCTCTTCGTAATGTTCTGTTTGCAAACATAACACATAACTGTCCTGCATTTGGCACACCACATCTTGTTGCATCCATATTCTTTGATAATCGGGGTTTTGCATTTTTCATTGGGGCAGATGCGGATAATGGCTTCACTCATAGCCTCTTCGATCTTCTGCCTTATGGGTACATGTTTTTCCTTCTCCATCTCCTGGCAGGTCTTTGGAATATGCGAAACTCTATGGCACTTTCGGCAACTAACCCTCATACATTCGGGCTTCAGGCAGCGGAATTCACGGTTTTCCTCAATTGGCGGGTATATCGCTTTATAGTCACAGAATGGACATTCTTCAAGGTCCTCCAGACCGGCTTTGTCTATCTCTTCGCGTTGTTGGAGATCAGAAAGTTTTTTCATCAAAGTGCCTCCGATTGATTTGACCAAATGGTCCTTGCTGAAATTTGCCTTACACCCACTCATGTCCATGCACTGGATATCGTACTTCATCATTCCAATCTGAATTTCGGCGTTGAATTTAATGCATTTCCAGCAAAACGGGTGGGCTTCTGTGGCGGTGCAAGTTATCGTCCGGTTAAGTGGAGTATCGGTATAGCAGCAATGGCATTCAATCAGCCCGCCTGTGGCAGTATGGTAGGCAAGATTCTGATCTTCTAGCTTCAAATGCCGCTCCTTGGCGGCCCGCGCCACTACAGAAATATCAGCTATATTCAGCAAGCAAAAATCAGGGGGGATTATAGTACTAGTGCGACGCGTCCGCTCCGCTCTGGCGTCCTGGATCTCTAAATGTGTGTCTTTGGTCTGGTGCTTAGCCACTTCTTTCGTAAGGGAAGCTATTGCTTTCGAGTTCTTAAAACCAGGTTCCTTTGTATAAGGTTTGGGATTCAAGGTCTCATATGTAGCTTCCTTCTTGTCTAGTTCCAGGTATGCGTTATACAGACAACCATTATTCATATTTATGAGATCGACGATATAAGGCATAGGTACCAGAGGGAAGTCAAGCTTCAAAAGAGATTTACTGGACAGAGTTAGTAAGGTTGTGCTCCAATATATAGCGGGAACAGTGAAGGCTGAGCGGTGATATAATGACTTTCTCCAGGGTAATCTCCAGGATATCAAAGTGCATATGTCTAAGTTTAGAGACCCTTCACTGCGAGAAAACAAACCGAAATAGTTATAGGGAGTCGGAGATGGTGTAAGTCCTGGAAGGGGGTTTTTCTAAAAAGCGAACAAGCTGAAAGAGAAACAATTCGGAACTTACCAGCATTTCCAATAGCGTGTATCTCTCTTGACTTGATCGCCATAGCCCCATCGAGTCTTCTTGCCTTTGTCCTCGGCTAGTTTACGCCTTTTTGAATCATTTTTGGTAGGGTAAGCCTCCTTCTGAAGGATGGCATCGACCATGGCTTCTTCACATATACGTATTTTCCTCGCTAACATGTCTTGGTAGAGGGTAGTAAGATATCGAGGGCATATGTCCGGGAACAAGGTAAAGATGTTCTTTAAGCCTGTCTGGGTCAATCCCGACTTCGAGGTCTTATTATCACCCCGGTCAGGGACTAGGAGGCTAATAAGGAAACCCATACCATCATCGTCGTGACTCTCCGATGAAGAGGCCCCTCTGCCACCAAAGCCAGGCGGGCCATAACCATCGTCGAACGACAGATGCTTCCGCTTCATCTCGTTTTCAATAGAATTTTTTGACCATTGGCCTGCCCTGCGTGTTAATCGAGTCAACTTACGAATAGCTCTGTGCATGATGAAGGGTAATAAAAAACTGATAAGAAAATATATAATATGGAATACAAGATATAAAATAGCAGAGATGGTAAGATAAGAAGACTCCGAACGTAATACTGCATAATATAGTGCGCATAGACTATAGCAAAACCAGGAGTGCCCAGACGGAAGTAGATAGTAGGGAAATAAAGTAGACTGTCCAACTCCGCCCTTGAGAGAGCGGACTGAAGACTGTAATATGCCCACGAATGAAAGGGAAAAAGAAAACAAATTACCTTGCGAGAGAAATGTGAGAGTACCAGTCAGGTTTCCGGTCTTCGGCTGCTAAGACGTCAATCAACTAGAAGAAGGTTGCGCCGGTAACGCTGAAGGTTACTTCAGCAGGTTCCTCTAGCTCTAGAAGAGTCTAGCCGCCCGGAAATGATGCAACGGGAGCAGAAAACAGGAACTTAGGGCCGAGTTGCTCTACAGTCGAGTCCTGATAAACAACAGATGGTTCCTTTATGCCCAAATTGCGGCACAGCGTTGGGGTGTTTGGAGGTGTTCATCTGTAGAAAGTGTCTTAAGAGACATCCACGCTGCTGATATATACCATACAGCCAGTGAATTCGCCCAGTGGAATATCCGGTTTCAGCCTCTCTACGGAGTATCCCTTCACTTCTGCTTTTCTGGTCTTCTTCTTCTTTGTAGTTCGTTGATTTTCTATTTTTCTCGACGTTGGGTGGTTTATGCCAAGACTTTACCGCCCGCGCTAGTCTAATAATAGATTATATAATATTAGGTAAGCTGTTCCAGTCATGTGATGTTGCTCGGTCCATCTACTAGCTTACGTAATGATAACCAAGAAAAGTTGATGTTGAAGTATTAATATAAGGATACAGTAGAAGACACCGAAGCCAAGCTAGTGATGGTTTATATCAAGCATCGGGGAGCCTGAGGGACCGGAATACTGTGTCAACGTTCGTTGGCTGCCCTGGATGGGAGAAAATGTGGGACAAAATACCTAAACATCATCCAAAGGACTTCAATGTTTGCCTCGCAAGGTGAGCCCAATCTAAAACGCTACCTTATAATCCATATTCTCATGGCTTACCTCTTAGAACCAGAAATAAGTGAGTTCCGGAGTCGACCTTCTACCTGTTATTGAATACCAAACAAGATTTCCAAGAGTCTCGTCATCCTCGTGTGCATACCGATGAAAGTGAAGAGGAGAATACCTTAGCGACAGATTGCTTCCTTTTATCAGAAATAACCCGAGTATACCGATTGGAGCGCTAGCAGGGAACTGGATACATATAGGTACTTTATTTCGGAGTCACTCGGCTACTATGGTTATACTAATGGCCATACTATGTATAGATTTGAAGCCTGACAATGTGACTATAAATTATAAGCAAGATAGACAGGGCCAACCCTTGCTAGAGAGGGGCGGTACGAGGTAACCAGTAACCCGGGCTGCTCACTGAAGACGAAAGTGACGAGCTTCGATTTACAGAAGGCATATAAAGTAGGTAACGTAATGTGGCGTAGCCTTGAAGCTCAGACGAGCCAGGGGGTTCGGTAAGGCATCCGACGTGCTTTACTACGGCCTTATGGTGAGTAAATATAATGGATGTATATTTAAACATCAGCGGCTGATGAGTATTTAGAGCCTCTTCGTAAAATGGCTACGTCCAGACTCTGCGCAATTGCAAAAGAATAGAGTCGACCCCGAACTGGAGATGATGAGCCGATTGATATCTTCGGCTATGCCGACAGAGCTAGTGACGCATATCCAGGATGAGGACTGGGGTAATGTCATGATGACCATGTCAGAAGTAACAATGTTTACAGAAGGGCAGAAAGATTACCCAAACCTTGACACCAAGGCCCAAACAGGTCTTACCCAATACTGCATCTGAATCCCGCCAAAAGAGTTGGCCATGGAAGATGCCTTGGAGGACTGCTGGTGGGGACAGGCTATGCAAAAGGCCTACCACTTACAGGCTCTGGAGAGGCAACACTTTCTTTTTAAGACGAGGCATAAGCTAGTAGGAGTTGTGTAAGTCTAGTCCCTCCACCGTCCCCATGTCAACCCCAAGGTGCTAACTACCAAGTCTTAATCGTAATCACGGCTCCGGGCTCCTGGACCAATGCAATATTAATGACAAACATGAGACAGCAGCCTTTTATATGCATGGCTACATAGTATTACATGTACATGCCGCTGGCAACAATGATGAGATATCATTTGATAGCAAGTGATCACGCTGCATAACTATCTGCCGCCTCAACCAACATCAAAACAGTTTACTAGTGGTAATACGGCGCCGTAAGACCGTGGTACATCCGAGAAAAAAGCCCCGGTGGTCGCGTCACGGGACCCGCTAGTGGTTCCGATCCCAGGAGAGGCTGGAATCTCGAAAGGTTTGATTATGCGGTCATCGGGCCCTATGGGAAGGTACCTGGCATCCCCATACAAATCGTGAGGGGCAATAGGTACCCTTCCATCTCTCCCTCTGGGCCGACGAGTATTCTCCACCACACCCGCTTCCACCAGCTTTTCACGGATGTCTTCGCTTCCAGACGGCAGTTTGATCCATGCGGAAGAAGGCAAAACCCGTATTAACACTCCCACGGATTTCGATTAAGGCGAGGGGGTGGTCAAAAAAGGGCGTGGCCAGGGCTAAGGAATTGGGGGGCGGAGGGAGAACGGGGGTATATTTATACAAACGCTTGCTTTTTAGGGGCCATGCTTCGGCGTTCCCAGCCAAAGAACATCATGCAAACAAAGGCAGATGCTGAATAAAGTCCCAGCAGCTTACTTTTCTTTCTAGTTCTTGGGTTTAAACACTTCCATCAACTTCCAGGCGTTTATATACACCAGGTTGCTTCCTTCCCACACACCCTGGCTGCCAATCTGTGCAACCTGTCCAACAGTAAATAAAAGGCAGAACAAGCTTCCCGTTTCCTCCAGATCTTGCAACAGGGGGCGTGCAGAAAATAACTCATCAACCTGTTTTTGAAGAACGAGATATACGAAAAGACAGAGAGAAAGAGAGAAAAAGGAGAAAGAAAGACGCAAAAGGATTTAAACTGCAAACCGGAACCATGGGCTCACTCGATCATCACCTCCTAAACGCCGACTCCCCTGATATCGCCCTCGTAGTGGCCACCCCGGCTGAGAGAATCGAGAGTATAAGGGCAAACGGGCTTTCGTGGAAAGGTCCCTTGACGATGGATGAGTATATTGCTCGTGAAGACTTTTTGATACAGCAGGACATGGTCAAGGATGGCTGGATGACATGTTGGGTCCTGGTTGACCGCACCCTGCCGCCAGACGAGCGTCCTATTTTGAGCAGCTGCGAGTCGATCGCCAAACGTGCGTTCCTTGCATATAACGGGAATATCGAGACGGTCATCACCCATGGAATCGGGAGCGTGTACTGCCGGCCAGAGCACCGGGGACGCGGGTACGCTAAGCGGATGATCATAGAGCTGTCCAAGATACTAGACACATGGCAGCAGGAAAAGGGGCAGCCATGTCTCTTCTCTGTCTTGTACTCGGATATCGGCAAGTCCTTCTATGCCGCACACGGATGGCACCCGTACCCTTCGTCCCATTTTACGCTTGCACCGGAGGCTGTCCATTCGGGAGTCAACGGAACTGCAAATGGCAGTGTAAACGGCAGAACCAAGGGAGTCGACATGAGTATTGTCAAGGATATGTCCCGGGAGGACGTCCTCAGATACATGTGCTCCGAGCCAGTGATGGAGCAACACAAACAGAAGCTAAAAGAGGCGTCCAAGGGATCCAAGGCGGTCGTGGCCTTCCCACCAGACTTTGCCCACATGTCCTGGCACTGGGCCCGTGATGAGTTCTATTCCCGGATCCTCCGTCCAGAGAAAGGGGAGATTCTAGTCAAAGGTGCAGCAGTTCCGAGCCGCAATGTGTTCATGACCTGGAACCGAAAGTACGGAGCCACGCAAAAGGATAGCACGCTGTACATCCTTCGAACTCAGTATGAGGAGCCAACGTCCGCGGCAGAGAGACAAGCCACTGTCGAAGCTCTGGCTGCCGTCTTGCAGCGTGCCCGTGCGGAAGCTCAGGAATGGAACGTTGACCACGTCGAGATCTGGAACCCGTCTGCGCTGGTCAAGGAAGCCATCCTGACGGCTGATTCGAAGGCAGTCGAAGTCCACAGGGAGAAGGACAGCATCCCGTGCCTAAAATGGGATGGCAGCAAGTATGAGTATGGAGATAACGTCGACTGGATGTGGAATGAAAGATATGGCTGGTGTTGAAGTGATGAATCTTCTTTAAACTTAACGACCGGTATCGGATTTTTTTTTGACAACTTATTAAACTGCTGGGCTGGGCTGGACTGGGCTGAGATTGGGCGCTGGAGATATAATGCCGCCCCATCATCCATTTCCTTGTTTTTTCCCTGTTTCTATACTTTATATTCATATCACCTCAAGGGTACGCAAAGTGTATCGCAAGATACCAGGGGCGGATTGGCGGTCAACGTCAATATCTCTTTTTTTTTCATGTGTTTCCTTGTGTCCTTTTTTCTTTCTTTTTTTTTTTTTTTGGTTTCTTTTAAACGATGGCATTTGATTAGACAAGCGCAGAAAGCAGAAGTGCTATAGAGGTTATGAGAAGCCGTTTCATTTGTTATACGCGGAAAGGGGGGCAAATGGTGCTCAAATGTGTCCATGTCATCCGTTCGTGTTGTGTACTAATAACTATGACTTGGCTGGAAACAGATAGTCGTCGACTCTGGCTGGCGATAGCAGGATTTCTGCAGCCGGCAGCTTCATGTTAGCATTCTATCATATACATGTGTTATGTAGCATCATATAGTAGAGTAAGACAATACCTTCAAATTGTCGATGCGTGCATCTGCTCGCCATTGTTCTGGCAGGAGATCCTTCCAGTCACTGGTGTACGTTTCAAGATTGAGTATGGCCGTAGGCGTGGAGGTAGATGCCTCCAGGATGACCTCCCCGGTCCAAGAAGCCGTCTTATTCTGGTCAAAATTTGCCCCTAGAATGTTCATTAGCAGAGGAGTACCATTGCCAGCAGCAAAGGAAGAAACATACACTTCAACACTCTATCGATATCAGGCGAATCATCCACGAGTCTGCGCACGATAGCATCAAATAGGGACCTGGGAAACGGATACTCATCTATAACCGTATGTTCCGCCTCCTCGATGACCGCACTCCACAGGTCGTCGACAAGGAACTGCCTGCCCAGGTCGATACCGTGCAGCGTCGCTCCTTCAACCATCTTCTCCCACGCCATCAGCTTTGCCCTGGCAGAGGGCCGATGGCATCCGATGGCACCGGACTCCTTGTTCTTGTACACGAATGCACAGATGTCCGTCCAGGCGCGTTCACACTCCACGACGGAAAAGGGTATATCTGCAAACACCTTTAAGCGTTCCTGCATGATCTCCGCCACGGACAGCGGGTGGTCGTCGTCTTCCGTCCGCTCGTCGATGCGGATGTCACTCTCGTCGTAGATGGGGAGAGCAGCCAGGAGCGGCAGGAGGGCAGAGTTGGTGCTGGTGTTGGCATCCATGGCTTGGACTTCAAGCGTGGACTTGCACTGCGCGATGGAAGTGATGTTTTCTTCTCCCTGGGGCTTGATCAAGAGTATCGAATTGGAGGAGTTGACTTGTCGTAGCGAGAAGGTCTTTGTAGGCGTACACAGGTTCACGAAGTCTGATGTAGATGTAGATGGAGACGTAGATGGCGTGGACGACTTCAAGGAGAGCCTATGACGGTCAGCCTGGGTTCTCGACAGCAAGGACAAACCGGTCTGTACGTACTCTGGAGGGTTTTCTGATTCCAGCAGCTCAAGCAGCTCAGACGGAAGCTCGAGGAGTCTGAATTGCTGTTGTGGTTGTGTCTGCGTGAGGCGAACGTCCATCACTCTGCTGGCCGGACTTAGCTCTCTACCATGGCCCCGGAGGATCGCGAGGGTGTATGCGACTGCTTGACGGCCGTGGCAGAGGAGAAATCTCGTCTGCCTTGATAGTGGGATCAATAAGGCTGTCTGTCTTTTGGCTCTTCGTGGCGTTGGGACTTTTTTTGCGCTGCTTTCTTTTCTTTTCTTTTGGCGGGGTTTTTTTTTTCTGGTACATACAAGGCAAAACAGCTTATTATTTAATACTGAAGGCACTTTGTAAGCATCTTATTATTATTCTCTGGTTCGGTAAGCTTGTGGTTGTATAGGCTTGTAGAAGTGGTATGTGTTGTAGATGTTGTAGTAGGAGGGCAGAAGTCGACGAAGATGCTGGACGAGACAACAAAGAGACCAAAAGACTACGTAGATGTACACGAGAGAAGCAAGGAAAAGAACAGCTTGAAGATGTAGCAGACGAGCCCGAGGAAAGAAAAGTAGACCATCTAGTACATGGCTAAAAAGGGAGAATCGACTTGCAATGGTATGCATCACACTGCAGGATCACCGATATAAAAAGATATATAGCTGGTAATAGAGAGTAGAAGAAGAGAAGAAGAAGAAGAAGAAGCCAGAAATGTCAATTGTCATTTTTTGGTAGAAGAGCCTGTTCGATAGATTAGTTTGCCGTCGAGTGGAAAAGGGGGTATATAGGGGCAAAGCTCACAGGTCTATCATCGAGGTCTAGCAGGAGGAAGAGGAAGAAAGAAAGAAAAAACAAATTCATGCGAGAAGAATCATTCCGGCTTCTTCTTCTCGTCTTTGGCCTTGTCTCCAGGCTTCTCCTTGTCTGCCTCCTTTTCCTTGGGAGGGAGAAGCTGAGCCTTCTTGTCGTCCTGCTTCTCTACAGCTTCTTTGCCATTACTGCTGGACCCCTGCTGTTTTTCCTTGGCTGCCTTCTCCTTAGCGGCCTCCTTCTCCTTGAGCTCCTGCTGGTTCTTGTCCTTTTGCATGATGTCGTGGACGGCCGACTTGTCCTTTTCGGACTCGATGCTGGGGTCCTTGAACTGCTCTTTGATCTTCTTGGCCTTCTCCTTCTTCTCCTTCTCCTCTGCCTCCCGCTGCTTGCGTTCCTTCTCCATCTCTTTCATGTGTCGGAGGTCGTCGACACTAGGCTCGTATAGATGCCAGATCGTGTAGTGTGGGAGGCCCACGACGGAGAACTTCATCCGTTTCGACATCTACATGAGTTAGTACTAGTTGCAGTGTTCAAGGGTACGAGGACTGACCTTGCCAAAAGCCTCTGTCTCGGCGTGCTTCTCGAAGGAAAAGGCAGGAAAGTGGACGCCGGCGCGGAAGACCTTGGCCTTGGCCAGGATGCTGACTCCGCCGACGCCATCGATCTCCATCTCCATGTCCGGGTCGCCAAAGGGGTCGCGGAGGTAGGCCAGATGCGGCCTCCAGGTGGCGTACTCGGCGTATCCCTCGACGATGACGGCGTCCTCGTCGAGCGTGTCCGCCAGGGCCAGGGCCGTCTCGGACTCCTGCCACGAGTTCAGGTCGTACGGCTGCTCGCCTCCCAGCCAGTCCGGCAGCGGCCTCCATACATCTGTAGAAGTTAGTATAAAACATTAAAATTCAGTATATATGAGTAAGGCCACTTACTCGGGACGATGACATCTTTGTTGTGACGCATGAGGTCCTCGAGGATGGTAAAAGGGGCGGTCTCGACGTCAGCGTCTCGCCAGTAGACCCAGCTGTGCGTCGGACGCAGGGTGGCACTGAGCAGCCAGTTCCTCGCCTGGGCCATGAGCTTCCGCCTGGACGCCTGGGCGGCGAAACCATGCCTGCTCTCGACGTCCTGGTTGACCTTTTGCCCAAAGTCCTTCTCGATGACGGAGATCTCGCCGTAGGGCTGCTTGGGGTCCGGGTCGCTCTGCAGCTCCTCCAGCAGCCTGGTGAGCAGGCCGGAGGTGTCGTCCTTGGAGTCTGAGACCAGGAAGGCCAGGTCGATCAGGTGGTGAGGGTAGGTGAAGTTCCGCAGGTGGGAGAAGAACATGGGCAGATGGGGGGCGGCGTCTCGCAGGGGGGTGCAGAGCAGCACACGCTCCTCCCTCTCCCACCCCCTGGGCGTGCCCTCGACGTTCGACAGGTCGTAGTACCGCACCGTCTCGAGCTGGAAGTCGTCTGTGGCAGCGAAGAGGCCGAGTGAGGCTGCTCCTATCAGGGTAGGGCGCCACGACGGGAAGAGGAAGAGCAGCAGGCATGTCGAGAGGGCGCCTACGACGAGGAGACGCTGGAGCAGGGCCCGTCGCCGTCGAAGAGCTGGCTGCGAACGAGGTTGGAATCTATCTCTATCAGCACCTTGTCTTCTCTTCTTCTCTTGCAGTCGTGTATTTCCATACCTATGGGGAGAGATGGAAAAGGTACCGCTCTCCCGCTTGGGGGTAGCGGTATAGCCATTGGAGAAGGCCGAATGCCTGTTCATGTCTCCGCGAGCAGCATGTGTGTGTCTCCCTTGACGCTGGTATGGTTCTTCCTCCCGCGCTGAAGACGCTGCGAGTGTCCGTCTTGCAGTCGAAGCAGCAAAGAAGCAGTAAAAAAAGAAGATCCAAGTTTTTCCCCCTGGACGAAGTTGAAGAAGAAGAAAAAAGCCAAGCAGGAAAATCGTCAAGGGGCGAAGAAGATGACGAAGCGTCGCAGGTTTCGCCTTTGGCGCTTTCAACAGCTCAATGTATGCTGATTATTGATATTGAGGAGACGAAGATGAAGATATTTATGAGCAGCGAGTGAGACAGTCGAGTGTCTTTCTCTTCTTCGCTTTACTGGCTTTGCTGCTCAGCTTGTTTCAGGATCATCTTTCATCCGCGGTTGTAGAAGTATAGAGTATAGAGTATAGAGTATAGAGTATAGAGTATAGAAGTAGAGGAGATGAAGTAAGAGATGAAGTAGAAGAGAATAAGGAGAGTAAGTAGAATAGGAGTGTCTGCGTCCTCTGTGTCTTCTTACTATGCTAATAATGAACACCGTGGCAGATCGTCAGGGCCAGGATGAAGATGATCACGGCAGAGAGAATACGAGTTATGGAGTATATAGACAGTAGACGGGATGAGACTGTCAGTACAGGAGGCATGGTGCTGTGTGAAGTGCATGGCTGATAGACATCTATAAGACGTACTCCGTAGACATATCTTATTCTTATTGACTCAAGGTATCTACCTAACAGTAGCACCGGCAAGGCTCTTGACGGTGCAGACGCCTCCAGACTTGACCATCAGCCTGCCCAGCGGCGGTTTCGACCCGGCCGTCTCGCTCACCTGGGGCACGGCGGCGCTCTCGAACACAACCTCGAGCCCGTCAGTGGTGGTGAAGCCCGGCTGGAAGGTCTCCCACATCTTCTTCTTCGGGTTCAGCTGCTTCTCCGGCTCGGCTTCGTCCCAGCCCTCGAAGAAGACCCGCTCGCCCGCCTCTGCGCCCTCCGGCGGGCAGACCAGCTCGACGGGGCCGCCGTGGGAGTCGTCGCCGTCGTTACCGGCGCGTGGAGAGGCTGCCAGCACCATGGCGGCAGACTTGACGCCTCGCATCGTCACCGGCTTCAGGTTGCAGACCGTCACCACCTTGCGGCCCTGCATCTCGGCCAGGGGCACGAGGCCGTTGAGGCCAGAGCAGACGGTCCGCACGGTCAGCCCGGTCTCTTCGTCCAGCTGCGTGTTGTCTGAACCGGGGGCGTCGCCGCACGCTATCGTCGACACGTACAGCGAGTCTGCGTTGGGGTGGTTGACCGCCCGTAGGATGTGGCCGACCCGTAGGTCGATAACGCAGGGGGACATGGGTGCAGCCGGCGCCGGAGCAGCCTTCTGTCGAGGCTGCTTCTCCTTCTTGACCTTCTTCTCCTCCTTGTTATTCTTCGTCTCTCCGGCCTCCTTGGTCTTCCCAACGACAACAGTAGTCTCCTCGCCCGTGGCACCCTTCTTCTCCTTCTTGACCTTCTTCTCCTCCTTTGGCGCCGCAGCCGGCTTAGGCACCGCAATCACATTGTCCAGATCAACAACCACCTTCTCCTCCGCCGGTATCTCCAGCCCAAACAGCTCCGCGTTCTGCACAAAGTCCACATGCCGCACGATGTGATGGTACCCGTCCTCCCCCGTCCGCTGCTCAGCACTCCACTTCTCCACCACGGGCGCAAGCGTAGCATACACGGCTACGTCCAGCACAGAGGGCTTGACGCCCAACATCGTCGTCCGCATGGCAAGATGCGCGTTGAGCGTCTTCAACTGCTCGTCCAACCCTGACTGTTCCGCCCCGTCCTTTAGACTGTCGGCCAGCTTGGTGATGACGGGCAGCCATGACTCGATATCTGCCTTCTCAGCGTCGGAGAAGAGCACGGTAGGGAAGATGAGAGGCGAGAGCGTGTGCAGGTTTACCTCCGTCGCCTGCGAGGGCACCGCCTTGGGGTATGAGCGGTACAGGAGCGAGAGGAGCGAGGACGTCGGTGCCGATGCCGTCGCCATGCTGGCTGAGTCGAGGAACGGTGCTCTAGGCGCTTGTATAGCTGGTATTCTCGCTGCTCTTGGTGGTGCTCTTGATGCTGGTGATGCTCGAGTGACTCTGATGGCTCGCGGGGTCGCTGAGGCCCGCAGAAGAGACGGGATGAAGCCTGGGGGCGGCAGCTTGAAGACCTGACACTCTCAGACACGCTGAGCTCGGTGTATCCGTTTGTAAGACGATATTCTTTTAATTGTTCTTCTCTTCGTCTTTTCTTCTTCTTTCCTTCTTTTCTTCTTTTCTGTTGATTCAAAAAGTTTTTGTGAGGGGCCTGATTATGTAAGCAGATATACACAAAGTAGTAGATGTAGATGTATAGATGATGAAGATGTATAGATGATGAAGATGTATAGATGATGAAGATGTATAGATGATGAAGATGTATAGATGATGAAGATGTATAGATGATGAAGATGTATAGATGATGAAGATGTACTGATAGTGACAGGTAGATATTATTTAATTATTCTATGTTCGTAAGTACATGTACCAAACTACGTGAAAGAGTGTAATGCAATGCTAGTCTAAGCATGGGGAGCGAGAGAGACGGAGGGACCGCGGTAGTCGAAGACGACGAAGAGGGCCTTGAAGAAGACGTCTCCCAGTATCTGGATGCCGCCGGCGTTGTTGGACTGCAGCCCACCGTAGCATACTACATTAACGTCAGTAACCAATGCTCATTCGACCGGTATATAAGAACAACTCACCATCGGTACCATCAGGGCCAGGGCCGTAGTTCTGGAAGGTGAGCAGCGAGCTCGGGATGATGGCCATATGGTCGTGTCCCACGGCCAGGAAGAGAGAGGGCATGGAGGCGTTGCAGGGATAGACCCATCCGGCATAGCGGCTGGCATCGTACCTGGCCCCCTTGACCTGCGCATAGTACGCCTTGACGACCTCCTCGTCCAGGATGAGCAGCGTGGTGCCGGTGTCCAGGATGGCGGTGCCGGTCCCGTTCTCGACCTTCTGGATCTTGTCCAGCTGGCCGACGGAGTAGAGCGCGCTGCTGATCTCCCAGAACCCGTTCTTGTTGTTGACGGGCACGTTGACCAGGTCGCCGGCGTACTTTGTCTTGTCGATGGCGCCGAACTCGTACGAGCCCATCTTGCCCTTTCTGAGCTGGGCGGTGAAGACGGGCTCGTCGAGGTCTTCGGCCAGGTTCTCGAAGAAGGTCTTTTGCTTGTCGGGCCGCACGGTGTTGAGCTTGTTCATGGCCAGCCCGACGAGGCCGTCGGACGACTTGTCGTTCGCCAGAGAGGCGGCGACCTTGGTGGGCAGGCCGATGGCTTGCTTCCTGACGGTTGCGCCGCCGATGTCCATCACGTCGGTGATCACTGGGCCCGAGGCGTGCGACTTGTCACCGTACTTGATGCTGAAGGTCAGGCCGTCCAGCTTGCTGTACGTCTTGGACTTGCGCGGGTCGTACAGGTGGTGGTCCTTTTTGGCCTCCTCGTCATCCATGTCGGTGTTCATCACCCATCTGTATGCATGTTTAGCCTTTGCTCATAAAGTTGTTGCTCATAAGTTGTTGCTCATATAAATTTGTTGCTCATAAAGTTGTTGCTCATATGCATGTATTGATACATGTAGATAAAGACAGGTCATATAACTTACGTGTCGGAAGAGCCGGTGTCAAAGTTCATGATGAACGGCTGGCCACCGATGGTGACGGGGGACAGAAACTGGATATCATGGCTGGTCGGGTTGTTCTCGACCTCGCCCTTCTCGTCTTTGCCGTCGTCTTTGGCTCCGGGGGCGCCTCCAGCGATCTTTGAGTTGCCCTGAAACCGGCTGATGGGCTCAGGCCGGTAGCCATCCATCCCCTGCGTCGACGGGATGCCGTACTTTGCGTATGCTCTCTGCAGGTCTGTTGGTCCATCGCGAGCGTACTCCGCCTCTGACCGGCGCGCCAGGTGGACTGTGAAGCTTCCAGGTTTCTTTCGAGGCGTAGGCTTGCTGAGGGCGAGAGGCAGCAGGACAGCCACCAGCAGCGACGAAAGATGCATCTTGCAGTAGAATAAAAGATGAAATTAAAAGAGAGAAAAGAAGAAGAGAAGTGCTTTTAGCTGTTTGACAGTGAATAGAGAGTGAAAACAATGAGTGAATGGATATAATATCAGGACAATAAACCGCCTGTTGCGGCCCGGACAGCCTTCACAACCAAGTCTATCAATGTATGTACTTTTTGATGGACCGGCCAGGATAACCAACTGCACAGCAGTGAATTGATATAAACAGAAAAATAAAAGAGAGAGATAAAGAGAGAGACAGAGAAACAGAGACCAGACAGGAGGTGCTACCAGGCCCATCCCTGGGGGGGCCGTCTCTGTATCTTTATAAATCTCTCTGCATAAAAAAAACCTCGACTCAAGTGTCAAACAGCTTAAGCTTAGTCTTTTACCCCTTCTTCGCCATCGTTGCTTTTCCCCCCTGAGGCATCAAGTCGATGCATGGAAGAAAGAAGCAAAGAAGAAGCAAAAGAGCGCCCTGCTGGCCAGGCTTTTCATCACGCCCAAGAGAGTTAGAGTTGATGAAAGGTCCCACAAAGCCTGAGGTGTACGGAGAGAATATCGGCTTCTTCCGTCGCCCATTGGGCTTGTCCTATGCTTTGAGCCAGGTTGCAAGCGAGAGGCATGAAACGCTGACGAGTGGACAAGCAGAACAACCGCCGAAGGGATGAAACCAGGGCTTTTCGACTTGGCGCAGGCGATCGCGGTGATTCGGCAGATCGAAGCCAGTGAAACTGACCCTTGGCCCGCAGCAGATCTCTTGTTTCTTTTTTTATCGTGGAAGTTCATGGGCGGGAGATTTCACGGCGGGAGAGGAGATTTCATGGCTGTGGTGGACGGGAGATGTTCGGTCGGGCCCTTGCAGACCTTGCCCGGCGGCTAGACAAGTCGTAAGTAATAAGATGATAAAGGATACAAGGATATCATAGTAAGCAGCGATGCTACAGGCAGAGCGTACAGAGTGCTCCGTAGAGAACGGAGTAAATCGGGGCGTCACCAAAGTGCTGACACCAAATATGTGGCCCCCTTGGTGAGGATTTGGGTAGGGTCGATAGAACTACTTCAACGATGGATAGACGTCTACAGTCTATCAATCGTATAGCGTCGATTCCTAGTTAATATCTCCTGACAGAGCGGTTTCCGGTATATACAAAGATACTGTAAGGCTACCAAGGGGCACACATCCTGCTATTAGAAGAACCTTGTCCTCGCTATGTCATGGCTAGAGGTCACTCATCTATATATACCCTTTAACGTGACTCACCACTAAATGCCCACCACCACTAAATGCCCGCCTAATCTCAACGCTCAACTCGTTCGATTAAGCTATAAATATCGATATATCTTAACGCAATGTAAGTAATAAAGTAAATAAATTATTAAATAACGATAGTAGAGTTCTAAATTATATAGAAAATAGTATAGTTAAGAAAATAAATAAGTATTAGGCTTAATATTTCGCCCCGTACGACTTATACTAGGTTAGAATATAAAAAAGGGTATATAAGGAATAGAATTAATAAAAGTAGCTTTCCGAGGTAATTTTACCTTATTTTCTAATTAGGAAGGTAAAATAGGCCTTAAAGCGTTAATTTAGGCCTTTTTAGCCTTCTTAAATAGTTACTAGGCTTTCTATTTATTAGTCTTATACTACTATTTAATTGTAGCTTATTCGCGCCAAGTAGTAGCCTCTATTTTTACCTTCTCCCGGGCCTCTTTTTATAATTACTACTTTATAAGTCTTTAAGTCTTCTTCTCTATAGCTTTCTAAGCCTTAATATCCTTTTAAATCGTACGTTAAAGCTTTAATTCTTCTACTTAAGTAATTTTATTCTATTTTTTAGCCTCTTCTTCTACTATTTAATCTCTTACTTATTATACCTTCGAAGGGGAAAAAAATTAAGCCTAGTGTTAACGGCCGAAGAGAGTTCTATTTAACTAACTAAGGGTATCCGTAAGTCGAAGACAAAACATATAGAGAAGAAGAAGGAAGGGGAAAGGAAGGAAGTCGGTAATAGGGGATAGAGTTATAGCTCTAGGTATTAAGGTTATATAACCGTATTAAGGGTTATATACGCGAGAGTAAAAAGAGGGGAGTCTAGTAATAGTATCTCTATATTAACGGCCGAAGAGAGTTCTATTCAACTAACTAAGGGTATCCGTAAGTCGAAGACAAAACATATAGAGAAGAAGAAGGAAGAGGAAAGGAAGGAAGTCGATAATAGGGGATAGAGTTATAGCTCTAGGCGTTAAGGTTATATAACTATATTAAGGGTTATATACGCGAGAGTAAAAAGAGGGGAGTCTAGTAATAGTATCTCTAGATAGGCCTTACTACCTTATCGATTACGGAGCGTGCGGTGACCTAAGAAGGGAATAAGGGTCTAACCCCTTATATTACGCCCCCTTTCTAGTTCTCACTTTAAAAGCGTTAAGAGTAGCGGTCTCCTATAGCGCCGAGGCTAGTTCCTAGATTAGCTTATTCTAGCCTATCTACTTTACTAGTAGCTACTATTATCTCTTTCTAGTCTATTCCTTTATTATCTAGTCGACCTCGAATTCTTTAGGCTCCCCGTCCTTACTAACTATTCTAGATAGTCGCTAGGCCTATACTCGCTACAAGAGTAGTAGATCTAAGGCTATAGAACGAAGTAGATTTATATAGAATATATTATATATTATCCTAGGGGTATTTAGGCGATAAGTATAGCTTCTAATCCTCTCTAAGACTCTAAACTTTCTATATTTCGCGTTAAGCTTCTTAGAGGGTCGGTCCGTCTTAATATTCCGCAAATCTAGCTATATATAATCCCCTACTTCGTACTACGTACCTAGGTCCCTAAACCTATTTATAAAATTCTATTACTTCTATTAGGCGGCCGCTATTAAAGTCTATATCTATTCGCTAGTTAACTTTAGCTTATATAAGATAGCGTCCGCTTATTAAATAGGGCTCCTTAAGTTAGAAGCTTCTACCGTTAGATCTTCTAGAAAATCTACTATATCTAGATAGTACTTATACTCTAGGAAGAAGGGGGATACGCCCGTAGCTACCGTATCTCAATTATTAATTGCGAGCTCTACTAAGGGGAGCTAGTTATACTAGTCGTCCTATAGGTAGTTTACGTACTTCTATAGGTAGACCTCTACTATCTAGTTTATCCTCTTAGTAGAACTATCCGTCTCTAGGTACTATATAGTTAATAGATACCTTCTTATCTCTAGGACTTAATAGATTCGAGTCTAAAGCGCTTTAGTAAACTATATTCTATAGTCTATAACTATAGCCTATAGTAGTTCGTACCGCCTATATATTATTCTAATAAAGATCTTAGCGATAGTATTAGTATCTATCTTCTTATAAAGTTCTAGTATAACCCCTTTACTTAGCCTATCTATTATTACTAATAAAGTAGTATAGCGCTAGCTCTTTAGAAGGTTAGTAATAAAGTCTATAGAGAGTTTACTTTATAATCTATCTAGTATAGATAGGGGCTTAAGTAATCCTTATCTTCGATCCTTCTAGAAGTTTAAGGTTCTATAGATCGTATAGTTCTATAAGAACTATCTAATATCCCTTATATAGTCTAGCTAGTAGAATTATCTATCTACTAGAGTAGTTATAATCTCCCTTTCTAGGTAGCTACTAAGTATAGAGTCGTAGGTATCTTATACTATTCTTATCTATAGTAGTTCACTATCGGGTATCTACCTCCTCCCTCTCTAGAGTAGTTCGCCGTTTAGTACTAGAGAGTACTCTATTATTAATACTTTTACCCTAAGGTAGATGGGGAACCTTATTCTCTTCTTCTATACCGCTTATTCTAGTACTAGTATAGCGGGGTTATTTCTCTATACGTTCTTCTAAATACTCTATAGTTCGTCGGTCTTAAGGCTAGTCTAGTAATAGCCTCTAGTTCTAGAGGGCGTAATACTATTACTAGAGTACTTTAATAGCTTACTATTAAATACTATAGGTAGTATATATACTTTAGGCTTCGCGGAGAATATAATACTAATACTAGAGAGGTTCTCTTTACTACTATTACTTATATCGATCTATTTATCCTTTAGTAGTTTTACCTCCTTATAGGCTAACTATTTGTCTAATATATCTTTAAGTATATCCTACTCCCTCCGTAAGAGTATATCTACTAGGTCAAAAGCCTAAGCTTTCTCCTATAGCTAGCAGAGCTATCTATAAGTAATGGGGCGAATGTATTCAATATCGATATTCAAAAAAGATCACGTGACTTGATGACTAAGATGATGACTCAGCATCTATCCAATATGTCGATGACTAAGCACCCATCCAACATATTGATGACTCAGCACCCATTCAACATGTTGATGACTAAGCATTACTATTCAAATATTTTGATGGGGTAAGATGACTAAGCTGCCAAGCCACTAGTTATGCAAGGTTACAAGTATCCAATCAAATGCTCAGAATTCAACCAATCACGTAATTTACAGCAGACCCACAAATACGCACATTTGACCCCTTCTATATATCCACTTTTTGGAATACAATATACTTCGCTTCGCTCCGTAAATTATTAAGTTTAGAATCCCTAGCCGATAGATTATTTTAAAGTTAAATCGGCTTAGGAATTCTATTTATTTTATTTATCGCTCTATTAGCCGTCGGACTATTATAAAGTACTCTAAGTTCTTATAATTTATTAGGATTCTAAAAGAGCTAACTACTAGGAGTTCTACTTTCTATTCTTCTAAGTACTAAATAACTACGAGTAGTTCCTTATTATAGATCTTATAGTTATACTCGATCGGGGAGTTCCTTTTTAAGTAGAAGGCGTAGGGGTAAAGAAGGCCCTTATTATTATACTATATTAAGGTACCTCCTACTATATATCTAGAAGAGTTAGTTTCTAATATAGTCTCCTATTCCGGGTTAAATTATAAAAGGATAGACTTAGCTATAAATTTCTTCTTAAGTTTATTAAAGGCCGTATTAGCCTCTAACGTCTACTTAA